GTTATATTATATTAAGTCAACCACTTAAGTTCATTCTTCGATCTGCACTGACGAGAAACACCGTCCTGTCCATCCTGAGGAAAAATACAGCACGAGCAAACCTGTGGCAGCGGCAGCCTCTCCAGTTGCCACTTGCCAGTGTCTGGACAACGTTGCCAACTACTATTTATTTTTGCATCAGTATCAGATCTCAAAATTTTAAACACCTTGCACATACAACAATACTTCTCTACCGCTATTGGATGAAGTAAGAAGAGGGTAGATACGTGTGGCCAGGATGAAGGGCCTGGGTATAAGGTAGAAAAAAATAGTGTTAATAAGAGTGTATAGCGACCACCTCGTGATTACCTTGTCCCGCCATCGTCCACAATGACCTTACAGGATCTTGGGCGCGTGTCATAAATATTCCCGTTTACAGGTAACCGAACCTCCCAGCTGGCGTTTAATCCCGAACAATATCAAGAAAAGTGTCCCCCCCTCATTTCGTCACATTAATTAATAGCATTAACATTAACTACGTCTACAGGAGTTAAGCCCGCTGTTAAGGAGACGTTACGCAACCCGTCCATCGACTAAAAGGTATCATAAATTGCAAGGTGTATAATGTCGATAAACCACCACGAAACGGTCGGATATTACATACTGTATAGCGTTTCTCACTCGATTATTTTTTCGCTGTTTTATTTATTTATGGTTATTATTATAATTATTTAATTTTTATCTATTTTTATTAATTATTGTAAATTATTGTTATATTTTCGTCCCCCAGGCCCTGATGTGGGGTCAGTGACCTGTGGTCGGGTGAGCTAAAATCGCCGTAAAAAAAAAACCAATATACGACTGCAGACGACACAAACAACTTCGCTCTCACAACCAACCAGTACTATTATACGATTAGGCTGGTTTGGGTTTACTTTTACCTTTACCCTCTTCACCACTGATCGCCTCGTTAGCCGCTTGGACGGTCGGTCACGTCTGTTACGCACTGTTGGCATGCACTGGCACTGTCTGTCTCCTTGCATAAATAATTTAGTGGTAGCCTCCATCTCGTTCGTGGTTTCTTTCTTACACATCGGGTTTGTTTATAATAATAATAATAGAGTAAAATAAAAATAAATGTTAATTGTGGGATGACAAGTAGATTAGAACCCCAGCTTATTTCACCTGATTAAACACCATTGGTTAGGTTAACAGGGAGTAGCTACCATATACAGTACACACATCATCAAGAGCGTACACTTGAAATCAGACCCCAAAAATTAATAATGACTGCGTTTTTCTCGGCTGAGCTTAATAAAACGTGACATTTTATTATTGTATCAGGATGTATACCCTCATCGCCAAGCAGAACTGCACCTTCGTAACCATCTTAAACATGCAAGGCTTTATGCTAAATATGAGTCCTAAAATCCAGAACGAGCTCCTGGACATGAGCAGTATCACAGAATTTAGCAAGAACACAGTTATGCATGTTATCGCAGATGAGACCACAGATAATGTTGAGCAAATATCGATCTGTGTGCTCGGTTTGTTAACAAAGATGACAAACACGATAGATGTCCGTGTAGATTTTCCTAACTTTGTTCATGCAGATACTGGAATTACCAACCAAGTTTCTGGACACTGCACATCATTGGTCTTCCCATCGAAATGACAGGGGCAGATCCTGACCCCCTCTTTTTATCAGAAATTCCAATACGTTTTCTTTTAATGCAGCATTGTACTCAAATGTTTTTGTATAGTAAAAAGTAATTACGTTCTATTGACCTCAGCAGGGGTGGATCCAGGGGGTCCGGACCCCCCCTTTTCATCAGAAATGTCCAATACTTTTTCTTTAATGCAGTATTGTACTCAGGCATTTTGTATAGTAAAAAGTAATTACTACTGACCTCAGAATATCTTGTAGCGTACTGTATGTGGCCAGTTGTCAATTCTCTTTAGTTGTCTATTATCTCTTTGTATGGGCACACAAACGTACGTACATGTAGATACCTTCACTCAGGAATGAGGTTGGATAGAAACTCACGATGCGCTTTCTGTATATATATTGTTGTACAGCGCAGTGCTTAGGAGTGACTAGGTGAGGAGCTGTGAGAGATGTTGCTGGTCCAGTAGCCGAGTGTAGAATGTTCTCCCTGGCCAGGCATGGCCGTATTTATACAATTTACGAGGATCAGGATTTGGGGTGCGCGTAGCGAGAGGACCAATCACAGCGGCTCAAGCGTAAGGTGTGAAACGCTCTGATCCTGAACTGGAGGTTGATGGTCGAGACTAGGTCGGCGATCGTACCCCTACGTCCTCTGCATAGACCTAGTCTCTCGGCGTAGCTGGCTGTACGCTGATTGGCTGGTCGGCGCGCGGCCAGAGCTCAGTTGGAAGTTGTAGGGGAGAGGAGCCACTACAATCTCCTAATAACAAATGTACAGTACTGCAAAATAACCATGATATTGGTTAGATCCCCAAAAACCTCCCAGCTGAGTGGACTTGCTGTTCCCCCACCTACAACTTCTTGGACCCCACTTTTGATATTCCTGGATCTGCCCCTACTCAGTACTCCTAACTTCTAATGACAAGTGCTCATGGCCTTCAACTGCCCATGATATTGGTCAGATTTCCCAAAAATTCCAGGGAGAGGAGCATACAAAGCACCCACCTCAAATTAAAAACTCCCAGCTGGGCGGGCTCTCTGAGCTCCCTGTTCTCCATTGACATTCCTGGATGAGGGCTCAAGGATATGAAGGTGACACTGTTATAAGTGGCATTACTTTTAATACATAATCTATCATTTACAACTAAAACACATCAGTCAAAATATCTGGAACATCATAGTTGTCTTAGTCTATGCCGAATGTGGAAAATGCCATGAGTGCGTTATGATAAATGATTCGGTATATTTAATAATAATAATAATATAATTATCCTTAAAAGTGTGACATGTGACAAACATGTTCCTATAATTCTTTTTTTTTTCATTATAACTCCTATGAGCTGTTATTGCTTTGCAATCTATGTAAAAATATACATTTCAATCACAATTGAGAAAAATACAAACTAATGATACTGTACTTGCCTGAATCACATTAATTAGAGAAACAATTAATACAAGGGCTTGCAGTAGTGGTCAACCTTGTGTGTAGACCCCTGGGAGAGGACCTTGACACAAATAGATGAAATGATACATCGCATCAGACTTGTTTCATGACCTCAAACAGTGTGTGATGATTAATGGCCCCAAACTGTCATGTGTGTGTCTGTGACAAGTTGGCCCCTCAACCAGCACAGCCAACATCCGTGCATGTACAGTCAGCCAAAGATCCAGCGACCCCACCCTAGGTCTCATACTGGCATTTTTGCCTGACAATACTTGGTAAAGTAAGGTTGTATGTAAAGACGATTGGTGGATCTGTTTTTATAATAATAAACTATTCATTGTTATTTAAGATCATGAGAAGGTTCCAAATGTTCGTATATTTGCTTAAATAATGAAGAAATTATATTAATGAATTGGCAACTCAACTACAACCAAGGCTGCCATAAGATTCTCAGATCAAATTTTCTTCATTATTTAAGCAAATATACGAACATTTGGAAACTTCTCATGATCTTAAATAACAATGAATGTTATTATAAAAACAGATCCACCAATCATCTTTACATACAACCTTACTTTACCAAGTATTGTCAGGCAAAAATGCCAGTATGAGACCTAGGGTGGGGTCGCTGGATCTTTGGCTGACTGTATAGTGTGGTCACAAGTGCAACCTGTTCAGGCTGGCAAACCATCAAACTTGAAAGGTGTAATGGGTTATAGTGGCATGTACCAGGTTTTTGGATTAGAGAAATCGTCCCCATATCAAGTGGTTCAAAAACTGTTTCCAGACAAAATATATGACCTTGCTGCCAGAGATACTAATAAATATGCAAAGTTAATGATTGACAAATTGAAGCCTCTGTCACCCAGGTCTCGATACAATGATCGGAAAGATGTAACAGTTGCCGACATAAGACCATTCATAGGTGTTCAGATTGATATGGGTGGGTGGGTGGGTGGGTGGGGGGTAGGTTCTAGGGTGGTCCAGTCTTTACTTTCAGGGTTTGAGAACAAGGGTCATGAAGTGTTTGTAGATAATTCATTTTTTTACCTTAGTGTTCCCCTTTATGAAGATCTTAGAAAGAAAAATGCTGGAGCTTGTGGCAGAGTTTGTTAAGAGAAAATTATTGCCTGTTGATGCGAGTGAGTAAACTCAAATTGAAGGGGGATGACCCGCCAGTAATTTTGGAAAATGAGGAAGGGACAAAGTTAGCATGTACTTAGCAGGACATATGGAGGGTGAAGATGCTCTCAACAATAGGGGATACACAAAGGAGGGTGAAAGAAAATAAAAATCGGGTGACAGAATGGTAGACAAACCTCGTGTCCAGGTACTTTATAGTAAGTACGTACATGGGTGGAGTGGACACATTCAATCAGCTTTGTTTCAACTTAACCTTTCAATAAATAACAGAAGAAATGGTATCAGTCTATCTGGGACTTCATCATTGAAGAAACATGAGTCAATGCTTGTCTGTGCTACAATATTTGGAACTGAAGCAAAATTAAATCAAAGAAAATTTAGAGAAAAATTAATTATTGGCTTGTTGGAAAGGTTTATTAAATGAACTAAGGGGAGGCAGGAACAATGAGGTTCCTTACCTTTGGAAAGTCGTCTAATTGAAGGGCATTTCATTACACAGTTGCAAGACAAGCATCACAGGCTTGCACTATTTTACTTGCTCAATGCTCAAAGAAGAGTAAAGGTGAGTCCAAGAGAAAACAGACAAGTCTCCTGCACTGCCTGCCCACACTAACCTCCATTTGGTATACTGTCAGCTCTTAATTCAAGACATGTTACAGTAAGAAAGAGTTCAGAAAGACTTGAAATTGCTCTTGAAAAAGCTGCTTTGTACAGTAAAGATAAAATATATGTTACCGTATATACAGTAGGTGTTTTATATGAATGTTTAGTTTTGCAAGTTTTTTATCATGGCATTATTGATACATAGGTAAAATGTATTTTCATACACATTTATGAATAAAATCTAAATGATTGTACAATGTTGCATGTTCTCCTCGACACAAATCACGAACAATCAACATCTATGTGTCAGTATTAACCTGAAACATATATATAAATTATTTTAAGGAGTTATTTAATTTACATTGCATGTAAACTGGACCATATTGGTCACATTTCAGTAACATTAGTCAATTTTATATTATGTTTTTCATAACTAAGAATTTATTTCCATAAATTTTTCAGAGATTAAAAAAAAAATCCATTGGTTTTCAAGGATAAAGTATTCTCAGGTTTTGAAAAACAAACAAACAAAATGCTTATGTTAGAGAGGTACTTCAACTGGGACTGGATTTTTTATTTTATTTTTTTGGCAGAGTTGACATTGTTTGTGGAGTGCTCTTCAGATTAAAATACTCAGTGAGAGGGTTAAAGAAGCCACAAGTACAGAAAATTATCAGAGCTAACTTTTTTGGACAAAGAGTTGTGAACTCTAGGAATAATCTGCCATAGGGTGTTGTAACAGTGTGAGCTCATTTAAGACCAGACTTGACCAACACTGATGCAGATTCAGATAGTCAAGTCCGTTTATGCCCAGTACTGGCCGATAGTGCGTAATATAAACGTGACTGACCGCGCATATGGCTAACAGGCCTATTAGAGACAAACAGAGTACAGTATAGTAAAGTAAAGTTGAGTCTGAACAACTGTTTCCTGGACTGCAGTTGTTCAGACTCGTGATGCCTGATGGAACAATATAACTTGGGGTGTTATGAATCATGCCCCTGCCTGTCCTGCCATCTACTGTGGGCAGGGAAAATTTTATGTTATTAATCAATTCTTTTTATTTGATATTAAATATTTAAATGTACTTAATGAAACATTAAAAATATTTAATGCTTCTCTAAGAAATGAAATATTAAAAACCTCTTTATTAATCTTCTTATACTAAAGGTCACAGCCTCAAGTTAGAGAAACCACACACACACACATGCATAAAATGATCAGAGTTAACTTGCTTGGAGTGTGAGTTCCTGTAAGACCAGACTTGACCAACACTGACACACGTTTCTGTACTTCTGGAACATCACAGAATAGTCCCCTCCAAAAAATCTTTTTACCCAGAATTGCCTCAAAATATTACTGTTATCTTAAAAGTACTTGTTTGTTTTAACAAGAAATATCATAAAATACAGACAATATTGTTTCCCAGTATTAATTATGGTTTTTGGTGCCAACAACACCTTTGTGATGGTTCATGGTAAGACTGACTAAGACATACAGTACAATAAACCCTCATCAACTTGGGACCCCTTTATCTCGGACGGGAGGTTGGCCTTGGTCACTTTCCTTCCATCTAAGACAACTGCCGAAATGGGAGGGTGAGCTCGTGCAATAGCAAAGTTTCCCTAATGGTTCTAAAAGTTTCCCCCAAATTATTTACAGTTCGTGAGTCCTGGCATACATAAGTGGCATGGGTGGGCTAACAGGTTGTGTAGTGTGAGATGAAGTGGATGTATTGGATATGATGTGGATGTGAAGTGAAGATTTTGTGGGTGTGTAGTGGAGGTGATGTGGACTAAGATGATGTGAATGTTTAGTAGATGTTATGTGGATGTTTAGTGGAGGTGATGTGGATGTTTAGTGGAGGTGATGTGGATGTTTTGTGGAGGTGATGTGGATGTTTAGTGGAGGTGATGTGGATGTTTAGTAGATGTTATGTGGATGTTTAGTGGATTTGATGTGGATCTGTGGATATGTAATGAAGGTAAAATAAGTCGCATCCATTATCGGGCCCATTGTAATTGCTCTTCCTCATAACCTTAAGTTTTATATATTGATTATCTTATGTTTTTTCATAAACAATTCATTACTTCTTTATGTTTAACTAATAATTTTTCTTATTTACATTGTTTTTTCATAAACAATTCATTACTTCTTTATGTTTAACTAATAATTTTTCTTATTTACATTATATTCGATAATTAGTAATATGTTTACTATACACAATTCATTGTCATCCAATCACAATATCTTGAGAGTAACCGAGTCAGAACACATGATCACCTGGTCAATATACTCAATAAATTTCTAAAAAAAAATAGCTACTTGAATGTATCTACTGTATGTATTGTTCTCTACTGCATATTGAAATCTGTCAAAGTATTTGATGCACACTTTCCCTTCTATCTCAGACTACTACCCTCATATTCTTGAACCTTGGTTGGACTTGGACTCCTCTTCATATCTCAGATCTAATTGCCCTCAAATCTCAAACCAAGGATGGACTCCAGCCTACTTGGACTGCCCTCTCCCCAATTAGTCTGAGTTGGCAAGGGTGTACTGTAAAGGCCAATAAAAAGCCTAATTGAAATCTCTGACTTTCAACTCCTCACAAGTTAACAAAAAACACACCATTACTCCGATCAGAGCTTCAGCATGACAACTGTTATAGGGGGAAAATTACCGGTATTTATTTTTTTAATCAAATGATGAAATGGACAGGAAAAGAAAAAATATCTACCATTAACCTTTTACAAAATGAAAAAGTACTGCATTGCACAATGTAAAGAATGTGGTTGAAAAATCTGAAGGAAGTTGGTTGAAGGGCCGTACAGATATGATCCAGTGACCATCAAGGAGGAGGCATGATAGTTTAAGAGAGATAAAAAGAGTGTAGGAATCATGGTTCCTAAAACTCAAACAGTGATATAAACTCCTCAAATGAAGATATTGGGGGCAAATTGGACCAAAATTTACATACTTTATTATCTAGTGTACTGCAAGCCTTCAAACTCTCATCATGAGTATCACTACCTTATCAAAACGTATACTTTCTTTACCATTCTACTATACTGTACAAGCAACCTTAAAAAGTCATTTCAGGGGCTCAAAGATGGTGCAATATTCCTCTGTTAATGTGTGTGTGTGTTAAGACATTTACTGTGTCTCTATAAGACTAACAATCAGTTTCATTCTAATGCTGAACCCTTCAACTGACCAGTATACATTTACAACAATTTTTGTACAATTTTAAGGGTCAGTAATGTAATGTGGATGGGGCCCCTTTTCTTTCTTAAAATAAATGCATGTGTACATGTACACACATACATGCATGCACACACACACACAAACTGAGGCTCAAACACAGGACTGTGAAATGACTCTATAAGTACTTTGGCAACAATCACAACAACCTTTTACATATTGCACAAAGAAGCAAGTGTCAATATACTTAAACTGTAATCATTACTGGTAAGTTCTTTAAAGCTGTCTGAAGGACTATATTCACCCATGTATCACAAACTAGCGTCTGTATCCGCCTCTGTAGCCTCCTCGATATCCTCCGCCCCCACCTCCACCGCCGCCGCCACCACCACCACCGCCGTTGCCACCACCATACCCGTACCCGTTACCATAGTTTCTTCCGAAGGGGTGATGGAACGGCGAGTGGACGGCTCCCATATGTGAGGGGTGTAGCGGGTGTCTGGGCGGTGGTGGTCCCTGCGGCTCGTGCATCATAGGGGGACCACCGCTACCCACCAGGTACGTATTTGATCCTTTGTAGTTACCCCCGCCTCCTCCACTACTGTTACCACCTCCGCCATTCTTCTCCCAGAGTCGAATCAGCTGTTCCCCAACACCTATTTCCACCTCCTGGAATTTGGAAATATTTGTTGGTATTAAATCCTATTCACTCATTACTGTAACTTTACACCCATCCTACTTTTGTGTGGGTGGAAACAGCAACCTCAAGAAAGGGAGGCAATGGTAAGGAAACCGTGCAGGAAAAGTGTAGAAAGTGACGAGAGAGATGGAACAATGATCAATTCAACGCTTCATTACCCTGGAAAGAAATTTGATTTATATATCTAATGAAACTGGACCATAGTGTAGATAATTTACAGTCCAGTATCAGAATGAATTTCCTTCATTATATCAATGAAAATTTCCTCATACATTAATGGCGTGTTGAATATAATAGTGTATCAATAAGACCCCTCTAAGTCAGACAGCCCCCAGCCCCATATGGTACATCTCAAGGAGGTCTTACTGTACCTGTGCTCATTGTTGCAATCTCTCCTCTCACTTTATACACACCAAGTTTCCCTATTTTCAGTGATGTTTATTTACCTAAATCAGAAAGAAAGCTAACTCCTATTACCATAAGCTGAAAGAGAAGCATAAAAGGAATATAATTTTACTCCTGAGAAATAAAAAACTGTTGAAGGAAGATAGAGAGATGACTGACTGTAGCATTGACCTCGAGATCCTTGACTCAGTAGGCTGGTGCATCTTAATATAAACTGAACAAATATTACACTTTATTCCTTTATCAGCCAAGAGGTTACCCAGTACTTTGGAAAAACTGGAAGGTTCTGATGAATACAAGTCACTAAGCCATTTTAATATCCGGTAAAGTCTAATACAATACAGTACAGTAAGTCCTCGATATATGTGAGTTCAGCACCTGCGAATTCACTCATATGTGAAATGTCATGCTGCCTGATATGGATTCCAACCCTGATGACTCTGCAGATGTCACTCCAACACCATCACCCACTATGTAAAACCCCTACCACCACCTCCATCAACTTGTCTACCCAAGTTGATGTATCTGCTTTTATTGTTAAGTACACTGTACTGTACACTTGCTTTATCTATTATGTTAAAAATAGTATTGTATTGATATGTTTTATGGTTTATTTGTCTTGAAAATGAGTCTGGAACATTTTCTTTTTGGGTTATGGAATGCATCCTATTTTTTCCCATTTAACTAAGTATTCAATATATATGATTTCGATTTATGAGAGGGTTTTCAGGAACGCATCCCTCGCATATATCTGTGGACTGTGCTACCTGGGTGACAAGATCAGTGCTGGAGTTTGCAAGAGACAGAAGTAGCTGAAGGAAGTTTAGGCAGTTTTTACCTTTACTGACAGTAAGGACATTGTTTTGGCTCAAGTTGTGATGATGTATGACAGTGAAACATGGGTAGTTAAAGATAATGACATGTGTAGGTTTGAACATGCTGTAATGAGAATGGTGAATGTGATACTGTGAGATAGGAAAACCCTATTCTATGCTAAAAGGGCAGCTTGGTAATGACAGCATTAGTAAGGTTTTGTGAAGTGGAAGCCCAAGATGATTGGGGCACGTGGAGAGAGAGAGAGAGAGAAGGAAACCAATTGGGTCATGAGATGCAGGAGTTAGAATATGGAGGGAAATCAAGCTATGGTAGGCCAAAAATGACATGGGGAGAGGTTGTGAGAAATGAATTCAAAGAGATAGGAGCCTGATGGAGACCTGCCATCGAGTAATCATGGCTCTCCCACACAAGTGAGTAGAATGGTCATAATATGGTAATGATGATGATTATAGGCTAAGAAGATTCCCTGTCGGTATCAGCAGGAGTGGTAGAAGTTATAATAGAAATACAGGTAGTAAAAGACAGGTACAGTACTGATCACACTATGACTGTCACCTACCTGGCCATCTCTACTCAGGTGAACTTGCATGTTCTCGTTGTAAGGGTTGTAGAGTCTTCGGGTTTGGTGGAAGCCTATGTTCCATTTCTTCACCCAGTCAATCTGTGGTAGTGACACAAGACCAAAGATAAAACACACCCATACACGGAGCAATACTGAGCTAAGTTATATCATATTGGACCCTGTGTTAGTGGGGGACTGAGGCAAATATATATACTGTATATACATGAGAGAGAGAGACTAACTTTGTACAGGGGTCCAAGAGTGGGCCCAACATTGGTTATGTCTGGACACTTTTCATCGGTCTTTTCTCCAGTAAAGCGAGCATAACCATTAAACTGTCCTCCTCTGTGTAATGTAAACACTAAAATAACAGGACCGGTCTGAAAAGAGAAGAAAAAAATATAATGAAAAGGTCACGGTCTTATACATCGATGGGTTTGGTTAGGTTAGGCTAGTTTAAGTTAGGTTAGCTTAAGTTAGGTTAGGTAATAAAACTTTTCATCTTGCATTAGTGAACCTTTTTTCCAGCACAGGAAATTAAATGTGGACAAATGTAAAGTACTTAGTCTAGGAGATGTAAACAGAGAAACCAGATATCGGATGAACAACAATGTTAAAGAGAAATCCGACTGTGAGAAAGATTTAGGAGTAATGATAAGTAGAAATCTTAAACCAAGTAAACAACGTGTATTTGCTCGAAACAAGGCTAATAAAGAACTTGGGTTCATACAAAGGAGTGTTAGATACAAGACAAGAAGGTCATCCTAAAACTATATCTTGCACTTGTGAGACCTCATTTGGATTACACAGTTCAATATGAGGGACTCCTCATCAGAAGGGGGTGAAGAGCCAAATTCAAAAAGCTGATAAAAACGCGTTTAAAGTTTTTCGAAGTTCAAACAACCATAACTTTGTTGTTTTTTAAGCTAGAGGGTTAATCTTTTTTCATCGTGCAGGTCAATCCCTCTCTTAGCGAACTGTGAAAACTGGAAGTTAGTACTGTGAATAGTTATTATTTTATCGCAAGTTGAATGAGAATAACTACCTGTGATGTACAGTTGTTTTAGCTTCAAACCAACAATAATTGTATTTTTCTGCAAAATTGCCTCATTATTGTGGGTTAATACTGTAAAACAAGTTAATGATCACCAAAAACAGCACTCGTCTTCCCCCCCCCCCAAAAAAAAAAACCTCATTTGCCTATCAATATTTATCCTTCTGTCCCTATTATTAGCCAAAGATTTATAATACTGTAACGTATAATAGTGTGTAATAATAAGGAAACACCACTACACTTATTCCCCCCACCATTAACCTCTCTCCCCTCTACCCCCAAAGTAATACGAATACAAAGGCGGAGAAAGTTTGCACAATCTTTGGTAAAAACAGTATTATGATAATAGTATTACAACCTTAATTTATTTAATTCCTTCATTTTTGTAGGTTATGTATCTAAGCTACTGTGCCGAGTAGCAACCCTGTACATAAGCTACTGTGCCGAGTAGCAACCCTGTACATAAGCTACTGTGCCGAGTAGCATTTATATATATCATCACGTGGCAACACTGCAGTCCGTTTATTATGGATGAGAGAAATACAAGTGGTGACTCGCGTGTGCCATGCACGGCTCACACAGTCAGACTAAGGCTGCCTTGCCATATGGCAGCCACATAACGTGCAGTGTTGCCACGTGATGATATATATAAATGCTACTCGGCACAGTAGCTTAGATACATAACCTACAGTTTTATTATCCCTGAAGATCATAGTAACTTGAAGTTACGTAAATCCTGAGGAGTGCGTATAACTTTAATGGCCTCGTCATAATTAATCACGTACTGATCAAAGTCTTTCTCTGCACTCCCTAAAAATCGCCATACAGATTCTTCATCAACTAAATCATTGATTATTGATGCCGGCAACAGTTCAGTTTCATTATAAGACTGAGTTATGGGCTCACTTTCACAAGCATTTGTTGGGTCAGGCTCACTTTCATCACTATCAAGGTCAATGCATGTCTCAACACTGTCCACTTCTACCTCCTCACAGTCTGCATGTTCTTGTTGTGATACATTAGTGTCACTGTTTGTGTTACCATTAGACTCACTTTCATCATTTTCATCTTCACTTTCATCGTCATTATTGCTGTCAGTGCATGTTACGTAACTCTGTACCGGAACACAGTCTGCAAAAAGGTCTTGTTATGCACAGCAGTCACTTTTTGTATTATAAGTATACGAAAATCACTATCACTATCACCAAGCACTCCTAGGGTGTCCACATGAGCACTGTCCTCACTAAACACACACTCAGGAATAATGGGCTCCTGAACCCACACCAGAAGGCCTGGCCTCACTCGAGTCTTGTCCTAATACAGTATCGGACAGATATTGCACAGCACTTCTCACACACGTGGAACACGAATAATGTCAATGCTACGCCGAAAAGTTATAAAAAAAAATAGCATTAGAAAGTGCACTGAATCTCCTTATGCTATACAATGCGCCAAAATTAACAAGGAGGCAGCATCTGGGCAAGTGGATTGGCCGAGCAGCTGTGACGTAGCAAGGGGAAATCCATTGTGATTGGCTGCCTCGGGGGGTATGGTCCGAGGGAGGCGCGCTATCATTGGCTTGCGCTCCTCTCGCTCTGAATGGGATGTTGCCACTTTCTTGAACCGAGCGCACAGCCAGATACGTAGCTCCAGGCCTGAGGTGAAATCACACCTTATTTTTTAAGGACTTTCTACGATATTTCTATTTTAGCTAGAGGGTTACATCCAATGCCAACATGTAGAGGAAGGATAAAAATAGTGATAGCCATCATATAACGTATTTTGGCTGTGGTGTCGCTTCACCCCTTTCTGACGCAGAGCGCCTCAATTATGGTCACAGTATTACAGAATGGATGTAGAATCCCTGGAAAGAATCCAGAGGAGACTGACGAGACTAATCCCGGGCATCAGGAACCTTGAGAACAGAGACAAGTTCAAGATTCTTAATTTGCACTCCCTTGAGAGATGTAGAGTGAGAGGCGATATGATCGAGGTGTATAAATGGAAGTCAGGGCTAAACAAAGGGGATATTACAAAGGTACGCAAACTATCCAACCAGGAGGGAACTCGTAACAATGGTTTTAAATTAAACAAATTTATATTTAGGCACGAAATAGGTAAACATTGGTTTGGAAATAGAGTAGTGGATGAGTGGAACAAGTTACCAAACATCATCATTAACTCAAATAAGCTGGATAACTTCAAACATAGGTTGGGTGTAAATGGGACTGCCCTGTGTGAGCCAATAGGTCCGCTGCAGTTTCCTCCATTCTTGTGTTCTTATGGTTGGGTTCCAGAGCACATCAGATTCACCCTACTGTTGTAATACTGTAATTACTCTCTGCCTGTCTGTCTATTTTTGTCTATCTCTCTCTCTGTCTATCTTCCTCTCTCTCTGTCTATCTTCCTCTCTCTCTTTCTAACAGACAAGCCATAACTCTACGCCCATTGACAACGGTGAACTAGCAGATACACAGATAAATAGAAAAAAATGAAAAAGTGTTGCCTGACTAGTGAAAAACCAATTTACAAAACATTTTTGCAGACAGACCACTTTCGTTAATCAGGGACTACCTGTACTGTACACGAATGACACCACTGAGAAAACTGAAAAGGAAACGTCAAAATATAGACACCAATTCAATGCCTTTTTCTGAGGAATCATTATACAACAACAAAAGAATGAATGAGAGAATGAGTACTGTACTATATGTTTGTTTTGGTCATGATCACTCTACTGTACATCATCCATCACAGCTGAAGGAAAAGAGCTTGCAAAAGTGAAATGTATGTCATACCTGAAAAGCTTGCATGATTTTCTTTTCTGTGTTGTGAGTGAAGGCCCAGATGGACGTGTGGTGCGATGCCTCCAACTGCTTGTACATGGACGCCTTGATGATGAAATACCTGGGCTTGCCGATGCAGCTGTTCCCTCCTCCCTCAGCACCCCCACTGTTGCTGCTCATCATCTTGCTATTGTAAGTTCCTGAAAATTTTTTGAGCTGTTGTTGGAACACGAAGAAACAAAGGTGACGGTTGGGGTTTAGGTTCTCTCATGACCATAGAGACAAGACAGAATGTAACTCCTAAAAACCACGAAGGGAATATATACTTGATACAGACACTCAAAACCAGATTTCAGAAAACCAAACATTTTCTTCCCAGTCAAGTTTAGCTTCCATGCACATACTAAGTTAAATGTTTATTTTAATTCTTAAATAACAAAAGAAAAAAAATAGCACTGCATACTTACTTTACATCAAGAAAAATGCCTTAAATATAGTCTTAAGTATTTAAAAGTTAAGAGTTACCCAAAAGCTAGTCAAATGAATTTGTTTATGTCCCAACAGTTTGTAGTGAGTAGCAACATTTGCCAGAATTAGAGATAGTACATAATTATTATCTAATTGAATAAATATCCCAATAACTTGATTATCTTTATCTATAGATATTCATATCAATAATTTATACTTTTTGTTTTTACAAAGTTTTTAAGTTAATATTGGTCAAATGTACCATAGACTCAAAGTACTGTAACTTATGCCAGATGCTGTCTCTTCTCACCTGGTGCTTGATCTCGTGAAGCAGAAGGTTTGTGGGAGTGAGAGCGGTGGAGATAAAGAAGGGGAGAGGTAGACTGGCAGATAACATAAGCAAGTACTGTAGCTGAGTGGTTAATCCTTTCATTATAGGGATGCCACTTTTAATATTTTATTTGGACAATGCCAGCCAATTCTGTTCAGCTCAGAGGGGAGCCTGTATACAAGGGGTTAAAGGGTAAGTAGTATTGTAAACCACAGAGGTACACAAGGGGGGTGGGGGGGGGGTCAAGAAATGGCACACTGGACAAAATTCTTATAAGAGATTGAATGGATATAAAACATCCAGGCAATGTACAAGTCCTGAGTGACTCTCTTCCCTCAGTGTGAGAATGAAGGCCTTGGATTTATTTCTGTTTATTAAAATTCATTTATTTCTTTATTTTATATGACTTATTCTCAGCTGTATTTAATTATTATGCTTCATTTATTTCCTTATTTCTACGACTCGTGTAAAGTTTCCTCCACATTTGTTAGGTTATGTAACATGGTCGTGAGAGAGGACACTGGTTGTGGGCCACAGCCTTAATTATCCCCAACCATTAAGACTTGAGACCAGTTTTAATGGGTGTCACTTCTAATGGGCACCAACCCCTATTAGTTAGAATAGGCTGGGACTTCTGATAGACAAAGACATTTACCAAAGATTAAATTAACTTGAACGAACCATTACAAGCATCCTTCATAAACTGAATCAAACACTCACAACATCCTGAGAAGACTACACCATAAGATATATTCAGCAGTTTGTGGGAGTATAAATGAGATTCTCTTACCTTTTGAGTCCTTGTTTCCTGGTTTACTTGCTCCACCACTGGCAGAGAGGGTAGTTTTAACTGGCGTAGTGACTGAGGACGGTGTTGCCATGGAGGTTCTGTTGGTGCCTGATGTACCTTGAGATAGGCTGTTGTTGAGAAAAGTATTTGTATTTGCACTCTGGTTGTTCATACCACCAGAATTTATGCTCTGAAATGACCTATAAGTAGTAGTGGTGGTCGTGGTGGTGTTTGAGCTCGACTTATTTCCCGTGTTAGAGGTAAAGATGTTTGAAGAACCGTGACTTGTGTTGGAGAATCCCCCACCAGTGGTACTGGAGCTGGAGGGGAACATGGCACAAGGGCCAGTGTTGGAGAAGCCGCTGGCTGTGTTGCTGGAGACACAGGAAGGGCTGCTCATTGACATGGTCCCCGTTGACCCGGACTTGGATGCCGTGCTTGAGTTACCTGAAAACTTTGTTGAGGGATGAGGTATTCCTACAGGAGGCGTGGCTGCATCACTGGTTCGACGTGAGGAAGATCTACTGGACTGGGAGTCTTCTGAAGTTCCTCCGGACCAACCACCCTCTGTAAAAATCAATACTTAATGCACTATAATGGTACTGAAATACCTTCTAGGATGTTTGCTGAGGGGCACTGTAAAATTACCTGACAAGCATTACTTTTTCCAAATGGTCAAGAACTTTTTAATTCAACAGTTGAATTGTGGAAATGCTGTAACATCTCAAAATTGTGCTTATCCATCTGGGACTCCACATATAAATACAGTGTGATAAAGTTGATACAGTACATACATCATGAATACTATACATATCAGAACATATATGTGTGTTTGCATGTGAAGTGTACCATATGTATGGACGGGCATGCAGTACGTGTTTTGTGTGTGTGTGTGTGTGTGTGTGTGTGTGTGTGTGTGTGTGTGTGTGTGTGTGTTTGTTCAATGGGTCTACCAACTCCTAATCCCTGATCTGTAATAACTCTTTCTTTTCACAGCTTAAAACCAAGGTAACGATGAACATTATTTAAAGAAGCAAGAACAAGCTGACAATGCTTGGCTAACTTGTTAAGGGGCAGAGCACGCACGCACGCACCCACACACACAACACCATCTGTGAGGGAATTACTACACCACGTGAGGTCCCTCATAACACCATCTGTGAGGGAATTACTACACCACATGAGGTCCTTCCTAACACCACCTGTGAGGGTGTTACTACACGTGAGGTCCTTCCTAACACCACCTGTGAGGGAATTACTACACGTGAGGTCCTTCCTAACACCACCTGTGAGGGAATTACACCATGTGAGGTCCTTCCTAACACCATCTGTGAGGGTGTTACTACACGTGAGGTCCTTCCTATCACCACCTGTGAGGTCCTTCCTAACACCATCTGTGAGGGAATTACCACACCACGTGAGGTCCTTTCTAACACCACCTGTGAGGGTGTTACTACACGTGAGGTCCTTCCTAACACCACCTGTGAGGTCCTTCCTAACACCATCTGTGAGGGAATTACTACATGTGAGGTCCTTCCTAACACCATCAGTGAGGGTGTTACTACACTACGTGTCTGCTGTTCAACACCTCAGCACACATGATCTAAGTGACCTCCACTGTAAACATTAATCTGTATGTTCACTGTATGTTCCTTTACCTTTCTCTAATGTAGGCTTTTGTTAAACCACCAATGTCAATGTATGTAATAAGTCATTTATGTCCAATGTAAATTTTCAGCCTACGGGCTGCAGAGCATTTTCAATAAACCGTTAATAATTATTATCACCCACCCACCCACTAAAGAAAGAGAGAGAAAAAAAGGAGCAAGCCAACCTAGTCCTGTCAAGTGGCAGAGTTTGGGTTAACCACAGAGAAAGGTGGAGTTGAACACACTGGCAAGCACATGTTTCCCGATATACTGTACAGTACCTCAAATCACCGTCATCATCATTAATGTTTTACGCCTCTTTTCTGTTTCTCGGATATTTTGTATTCATTGAGTTTAACTTCATAAATTATTAAAAAAAAAAAAAAAAAAAATTAATTAAGAGACGAGACAACACAAAATTCCCTAATTTCAGATTTCGTTTTGAGTCAGTGTTTATAAGTGCAGTACAGCATTGTCCCTATATTGTCACTTTAAACTACTGTAGATGCAGAAGGTGTGGCAACACTTCTCGTAATAAGGAATGACATCATCCTCCCCCAAAAAACTTAACTCGAGAAACATTAAAAAAAAAGGAATCACCATATTGACCACACTGAATGGATGTACAGTACTGTACTAGTAATAAAAATTCCATAAACTTTCCCACAAACATCATAAAATATTTATTTATAATTAATATCTATCAAGTTTGCTTCTGAATAACTACAGTGGTGTCCAACAAAGTACAGTATATGAGGAAAATGTTGAGACAGAAAGCTGGGAAATATATCACTCTCCAGACAACTCTCCTCTGAATGAGTCGCAAGTCAAATGGTCTACAGTTCTAATGGCCCCTTATGGAACCTAACCTCTAACCTAACTTAATCTAACCTTACCTAACTAACCCTTAGTATTTGGGTCCATAAAAGACTGAGGCCCTTCAAAGCTGGGGCCCAATCTTAATGGTAGGGTTTAATTAGGTTCAACTGGGGCCTGATTGACTGGTCACCCTCTAAAAATTGGATGACCTACTTTTCTCCCCAGTTAAAGTTTTTCTTATTTAGAAGGAGAATTAATCAAACAAAAACGAAATAAATACCTAAACATCAGAAATTCAAGTACCTCACAACTATAACGGAACAAAAGTGAAAATAAGAGTACTGAACTAGGATCGGGTTATCAGAGATGAAACTGTGTTCACAAATAACATGAACCTCTCCAAACTTGCTAAAGTAGATTACAGATGAAATACAAGTTATCATTGGTCAGTGATACTTGGAAAGAATTGAACTAAACGTTAGGAGTGTCTGAAGGATTCTTGATGTGTTGGTAACCCTGTGTCATAAAGGGTAAGGACTAAGAAATATACACAGTTAAAACTGACCGTGCGGGTGACTGTGAGGGTAGAGGGGTCGAGGGCGCTGGCCAACACCAGATGGCTGGACGAGACTCAGTGCTTGTTCCTCCTGGCTCAGGGCCGAGGCTACTACTCGCACCACGTCCTCATCAGCCTGGGCGGTGACATGTTGATATAAATAAATCACCAAAATACAGAGACTTTAAATTGATAAACAAACTTAGTTAACACATAGAGGAAAATGAAGACACACACCAACGCCAGACATAATACATTATTTAACTTTGATGTTCCCACCTGAGTGAGAGGCTTGTTGGGCGCTCTGAGTCGTCGCAAGATGAGGGCGTGTAGTTTGTGCCTCAGCTGTAGGGCCAGATGGGCAGCTTGAGGGTCACCCAAGAATTGTATCCAGTTGTCAATCCTCACCAGACAGCTCAGACCTACTGGCCGGTCCTCACTCTCACTGTCACTGCTACAGTCACCACTACTTCCTGAGTACGAAAAAAAATATAAATTGTACGGTATCATCCACTCTAATGTGTGTTTGTGCAGCAACTTATGGACTACAAATATGGTCTATGGCAGCAACAAGTCTAAAGTTTAATACAAGTTATGAAAAAAAAAAAAAAAAAATTCACATCAGACATATTATTCTGCAGACATGAGTGCATCTTTTATATGCCAAGTCAAAAGGATATTTTTCTTTAGATAACTTGATGTGTGATAAATTGACCTGTGCTGCATCATTAAGTTAAAGGAAGTCAGTTGTCTTCTCCATGTTAAATATCCCCAAATGTTGTGTACCTTAAACACAGGACAGTGATGGTTACAGGTATACTGACACACACACACAGACTGACTGACTGAATGGAAATGTGGTCCAGCTTGATTAGACTTATATTCCAATGACTAGGTTAAGCTAGGTTAGGTTAGCTTAGGGTTCAATAAGACCAAGTATTATAAAAGTGCGATTCAATGCAAATTATCCCAGATTTTGTTATTCCAGGAAAACTAAATATAAGGAAGTAAGAATACCCAGTACAGTATTGTTACAACACTAATCAATATTTTCTTCCTTACATGAGAGAGAAAGACCTGGACTCATACTCACGGCTCGAGGGTTCCGACAGGGCGTCCAGAGGTAGTCGCATCGGGCCAGCAAGAAGCAGGACTGTGAGGGGGGACACTAACGTCACAGTTCGGACATGTGCAACAACTCCGATACGCACCATCTCGTCATACACCAACCAATCAGAGGGCAGAGAGCTGACCAAGGCACGATGAGCAACACTGAGTGAGCCTTGGTTATTATTAGCAGCATCTAAGAGAGACGACGTAGGATGCAACCTCACCTTACTTTCCTTTCTGTAATAACAAACACATCACCATCAACATCATCATTATCATCATCAATCATCATCATCATCATCATCATCATCATCATCATTATCATCATCAATCATCATCATTATCATCATCATCACTGTTGCAGCCATTTTCCATGCTTGTGTGGCTTAACCTTGACCTACTCCTACCTCTCTCTCTCCTTGTTATTCTTGACCTACTCCTACCTCTCTCTCCTTGTTATTTTTGAACTACTCCTACCTCTCCCTCCTTGTTATTCTTGACCTACTCCTACCTCTCCCTCCTTATTATTCTTGACCTACTCCTACCGCTCTCTCCTTGATATTCTTGACCTACTCCTACCTCTCCCTTCTTGTTATTCTTGACCTACTCCTACCTCTCTCTCCTTGATATTCTTGACCTACTCCTACCTCTCCCTTCTTGTTATTCTTGACCTACTCCTACCTCTCCTCTCCTCTCCTCTCCACATTTTGACCCATGTCCCTCTTGATCCAACTGGTTTCCATTCTCTCTATATATCCATACCAGCTCAGCCTAACTCTTCATAAAAAAAATGCCAATACTGTCTCAATACTCAGCTGCCTTCTTAGCTCTGAACAGTGTTTCCTATTACAGTGTTGATACAGATTATTTCCCCCCACAATATAAGCCTTTTCCCATTATCAAATCTAAATTGACAAATAATGAGTAAAATAAGAGATTACAGTAAAGTGATAATTTAAAGCTTATTGGGAGTCACTTGAGATTATAAGATCCAAGAAAAACTAATCCTGAGTCTGAGTTTTATTTTTACTTTGTCATGGGCTCTGGTAGGTACACACACGAGCCACAGCCTTAACAGCGTGACCTACACTCATAACCAAGTCTCAGATGCAAACCTTAGATTAATATCAGTTAACAAATTTACATCATCACCCTTAGCCATTATCTTTGCTTCTCTCCCCCATCCCACTGTTGTTTTGGGAGGATCACAGAGGACAGGACCTGGTGGCTGAGTCCTGGATATTAAGTAGACCTTTAAGGAAGCCCTGAAGTTGGCCCCAATATAACAGGTCATAGATACACTGTTAACAGTTTCCTTTTGGACACGATCACCAACAGGAAGGAGACAAAACCTCAACTATGGAAGAAAGGGGAAGAAATTTGCCAGGGGGAGAGGGAGTAGTGCTGGGTCAGTCAGGAGGAGAGGGAGTAGTGCTGGGTCAGTCAAGAGGAGATGGGGTAGTGCTGGGTCAGTCAGGAGGAGAGGGAGTAGTGCTGGGTCAGTCAGGAGGAGAGGGAGTAGTGCTGGGTCAGTCAGGAGGAGAGGGAGTAGTGCTGGGTCAGTCAAGAGGAGAGGGAGTAGTGCTGGGTCAGTCAAGAGGAGAGGGAGTAGTGCTGGGTCAGTCAAGTAGTCAGTCAAGAGAGAGGGAGTAGTGCTGGGTCAGTCAGGAGGAGAGGAAGTAGTGCTGGGTCAGTCAAGAGGAGAGGAAGTAGTGCTGGGTCAGTCAAGAGGAGAGGAAGTAGTGCTGGGTCAGTCAGGAGGAGAGGGGGTAGTGCTGGGTCAGTCAAGAGGAGAGGAAGTAGTGCTGGGTCAGTCAAGAGGAGAGGAAGTAGTGCTGGGTCAGAGGAGTGAAGAAATAAATACTGTGAATTAATGTGGATAGCTGCGAGCAATATTCAATGGTTATGTGAATACAATTATAGAACAGAACAATGATAATGCTATATGGAGGTTTTAAGTACCCGATGTACCATCTAAGGAAAAAATATGACTTAAAGGAGTAGAAAAAACCAGTGAACGTAGCACTAAAACATTAACTTACTGTGTTCTCAACTGGCACTGGTCACGATCAACCCTTATTAGGTTGGGGTACATTCCTGATACCAGAGCAGCTTTGACCATGGCCCAGTTGTCACTGTTGCTATTCACATCTCTGTAAAGTAACACATCTCTAGTCATCCTGTGATACTGTACATTATGTATGGTGTGTTGTTAACAGTAAAATAAATAATTGAAACCCTGCAATTATGTGCAAATAAAGCTCTGTTAATGACACTGAACAAAACATGAGTGTACCTGATATCACCAGGTCCCCGGGCACGAACAAATCCAGCTCCCCGCAGCTGAGCCAGCACCTGGGACCGCATCCCGTGGATCATCTCCATGGTCGCCCCAGACACATAGTTACGATCACACCATCCACGCTCCCAGCCTTCACCACAAGCCTTCTGCCATGCCTAGTATAATAAAAGTTATCATTTTATTGATGGTAAATATTCCAGGACAGTCCCAGTACAGTAAACAATGGGTTACTGGTCTAATCACATTATTGTGTAATGTACAACAAAAGCTGCCATGGAAAGCGTTGGCACAACTGTGGAAATATATCTCCATAACTAATGTTGAACGTGATTTAGTATATTTTATCTTCTATTGGCTGTTATATATCTGCACAGTAGTCCAGTGTCACTTTTAGGAGGAGGATCAAAGAAAGGGAGATACTGTACAAGTGGCCAAAGACAAGTGTAAATAGTGACAAGGAAAGACTCACACAACAAATATAAATATTCACATATACTTCCTCAAATTACATACACTATATACACTATCATGTGACTCTTATCAGCCACACTGATGCACAATACTTCATATCACTACACTGTGCTTCGTCAGAATATCTCATAAGATCATACAGTATTTACAAATGGCAACTGTTCTTTCCCCAAGTCACATAGTACACTTACCTACTCATTCTTGTACTGTCCACCGACACTTACGGCAGGTCACTGTGACTACTCTGTGGCTAATAACTTACTAACTGGTGAAAAACAATTCATAATTAATCTGTATCTTGACTGTGATTGTCTTTATTGTTATCTGCCCTTGGAGTGATTCTATAGAAAGTTCCATTACAAACACACAAGAAAGAGTATAAAAACCACGAAGAAAGTGATTTTAAGTTATATGGTGTTCAGCCCAGAGCACCGCAACACCTCCACCAAACTTACCTGGCCACTAGACTAAACCTGAATCTTGTGGGTTGGGAGTCTAGTGTACAGGTACTATCAACTCAGCAAACAACATACAGTTCAGCAAGACTAAATAATGTGGACATATATACCTCAAAATCCTGGAAAACTCAAGATCTAATATGACCTGTTTGGTAATATTTATTTTTTTATAATTCCGACAGTGTAAATATATCCTAAGCATTCCGACGTCATATTATCTTCAGGTAATAATCACCTCAAGATAACCACACGGCTCATTTGGACCAGTATGGAGGAACCTGGGAGGACTTGGGTAATACTTATACGACCGGCTGATCTTACTGAGATACTGTTTACCCAACACCTAACCACCCATCCATTCAGTGGGTGTTAGGAGAAGCATTAGCCTATTCTCTATCTACTGTCTCACTACTCAATATCTTCCATCAGTGTTCAGAATTATACCAGAATGTTTTATCAACATCGGTCCTCCGTTGATAATCTTCAACGTGTGAAACGACAAGGGTAGGTCCAATGTCCAGCCAGGGAAGCACGGATATGGATAGCACAGAAAAAGAGGAATCGCCGAGATTTCTAAGCAAGGTGAAGAAGCTTAGAAACTGCACCAGTCATCTAGTAAAAAGAAAGGTATTATATGGCATGACATTATCCAGAATAAAGACAAGATTAGAAAGTTTGATGAATATTGAATAAGAAAGTGGTGTTCCTCTATTACGGATATTCAACGGACAATACGCAATAATGGTTCTGTGGTTCAGCAGAAAAGGTACAGTAGTCATACAATACGGTACAGTATACGGTAATATCTCCGTTAGCAAGAATCCATCAAATCCAGAACTCTCCGATAGCCGAAATGAAATTTTCCGAGCGGCACATTTTCTGGAGAATTCCAAGAAAATTTTTCCGATACCCGGAAAATTCCGGGGATGGGGGGAGTTTTTTTCCGGGTTTGAGAGATGAAAATCAGGTACATTTTCTGGAAATTGAGAAATATTTTCCGTTACCAGAAAAATTCTGGGGATGAGGGATATTTTTCCGGGTCCGAGAGGCAATGTAACGGGCAATTTCTGGAACTTCTGAGAAAATTTTTCCGTTACCCGGAAAATTCCATGGATGCGGGATTTTTTCCGGCATTGAGAGAGTCGTTTCGTTACCCAGAAATCTCTCATTCCCGGAAGTGCTCTGCACCAATTGTTCCGGCTAAAAAGGATATCACTGGACTAAACTGTTCTTGCATTAGTCCCCTATTATCTTCCAGTGTTTGTAATTTGTTTAAGTCTTTTAATCTTCTTTCATCTCATATGTATGTATTTCTATTGTTTTTTACTTTTAGTGTATATCAGAGCACTAAAACTTTCATAAAATATTAAAAATGATATAATTTATACCTTTTATGAAACTACAGTACAGTCTCTCCTCGACTTATAACAACTCGGACATATGACGGCAATGGTCGTATAAAATATTTTTCACATTATGTATTTTCGAGTCCCGACCGTTAGTGATCGCGCTGTGTACTGACAAAATTTTCGTTTGTAATTCCCTTTAAAATGGCTGGCAAACGTAAAAGTGAGAGTTCTCGTGGTGCTGAGAAGAAAAAGAGACACCCATTTTAGAATTTCTATGTATTATTTTCGCCTTTTCGACTTATGACCTGGTCGTCGGGACAGAACCCAGTCGTAAGTCGAGGACTGACTGTATTTACATACCACATTTTCCCTCATTTAATCAGAGTTAATGAGGTCTTAAAGTATACCTATAACCATGAGTATTGTCGTCGTACCTGGAACGCCTTCAGAAGAACCATGTGGTCGCTGAACGTCCCTGAGGTAAATTTTCTCCGCACTGCACTGGCATTTCTCTTCTCACTGGGATGCTTTGGTAGTGTAAAAGGATCTCTGGATGGGTAAGAAAGGAAGAGAAATATCAGATACCAAACAAATCTAAAATTATATCTCTTAACACACACACGAAAGGAACTCCACCTCATGACTTAATTCTTTGTCAGTGTACCAGACTTTGAAAAGGACAATATAGTACAGTACCTTCATCTTGCTCCATGGATTGACCCATATCAAATTTGTCTAAATACAGATACCTAATGGTTTATAGAGATCATACACCCATACTATACTATACATACATACAGTATATACAGTATAACAACTAATAAACAAACTAAGTCTTTAATTCACACAGATAAAAGAGTTGAAAATCATAACCATTTTCTAGTAAGATTTTAACCTCTCACTTGTAAGCCTTAACCATTCACTTGTAAACCTTTTACCACTCACTTGTAAGCTAAACAAGCAGCAACTGTCAGGACGGGATCGAGACACTTGAGCACCGTAGCTGTGATGACCATCTTAGCCAGGCGAGGCGGTAATGGCAGGTCCAGTAGGTGGTGACCCAGCTCAGTCACGTCCTCCCAACCATCCAGAGCATCCATACTCTACAACAAATACTTTCATTATTGTAGAAGTATTCTCCCAACCATCCAAAGTGGTCCTGTGATGTTGGTGTGATTCCATACTCATTACTCTTACCAAATGGAAAATATAATTAACTGGGTGAACAATAATAATAATAATAATAATAATAATAATAATAATAATAATAATAAAAAGAAAAAAAGAAAAAGAACATAAGTCAGTCAGTAGATACCTTGAGTAACTGAACTGCATTACGGATGACCATAAACGCAGGAGCCTCGGGCGCCCGTGCCAGGAAGTCTGCTATGGGCATGTTGGCTGGTGCTAGAAGTTTAGTATGTAGACACAACTCCTGGGGGTGAGGAGGAAAAAAAATCATCAATAAAAGTGGTTTACAAATTAGGTGAAGAAGGTGGGCATGTTGGTGGTGTGTGAGCTACTGCTGAGACATGGTGGTGTGTGAGCTACTGCTGAGGCATGTTGGTGGTGTGTGAGCTACTGCTATGAGACATGAATACAGGTAGAGCAAAAGAAACACAAGACCATCATCACGGAAGGGAAACACCCCAGCAGAAAACATGTTACTTTAGCTACGATGAATAAATGACAGCGGAATAAAAAATCTGTTGATCCCCACTTAAGCTGCCCAGTACCAAAGTAAATGTTTTTTTTTTAAATAGGGAGGGAGGGAGGGAGGGAGGGAGGGAAATCTTTATATTGATATTGGTATATTTATTTTACCTAATGACCACCCACTAGAAGTGGCCATGCCAAGGGAAAGAGGCCCGTGACCTGGGTAGAATCCCTCCATTGTTCTTGATAATTTTGTCAAGGGTTATTTTGAAGCCCAGTATTGTTCTTGATTACAGAGCTTCAGCTGGTAGACCAATCCATAGGTTTGCTACCCTCTGTGTGAAAAAGCATTTCATTACGTTCATTCCGCAAAATAATTTGGCAAGTTTGTAGTTATGTTCCCTTGCGTTAATGGTGTCCTGGGTTTACGTCTTCCATCCCTTTCAGGATTTTGAGCGTTTCAATGAGATCTGCACTATTATACCTTGTCTGAAGGGTTGTTAGTCCTAAGGCCCTCAGTCTACTTGGATAATCGAGATGACATAGTTCCAGAATCCTCTTAGTCACTCTGTGTTGAATCTTTTATGGAGGTAGGGTTCCCATGCCTGTATACAGTAATCCAGACGAGGGCATACAGTACAGCACTTGAGAATTGTAGAGTTGAAAGAGCATTTTCCTGCCTTTGTATTCAAAGGTATGTTCCATAAGTTCCAAATCTCAATTTGCTTTTCTCACTGCTGCCCCCACTTCTTGTGCTGTTTTCAGTGACTGATCTATCACAATAACTAGATCTTTCTCCTTATTGACAGTATCCAGGAAAGTGATACTAACAGAATAGTTGTGATTAATGTTGTTGTATCATAAGTGTAGGGTTTTGAATTTTGTAATTTTAAAGAGCATTTGCAAGTCTCTCTGCATTGTTGCGACATCGTCTTGACTTGCTACCTTCCCAAATATCTTTGTCTCGTCTGCAAACTTGACAATGTAGCTAGGTATATTTTCATCTATATGTCATTTATGTAGATCACAAACAGGGCAGGTGCGAAGATCAAGTTTTGTGGTACTTCACTGTGTACAAAGAAATGTATATTCCCTTTATGTGTTTGCCCTGAGGACAATTATTTCTTTTACCTGTAATATTATACAGTGTGTGTGTGTGTGTGTGTGTGTGTGTGTGTGTGTGTGTGTGTGTGTGTGTGTGTAGACACACACTAAACACATATAAATAAATAATAACCAGAGAATCCTCTCACAAATAATCAGAAACAAATTTAATAAAAATGTGACAGTATACCCTCAAGTCCGTTGTCTATTACAGTACTTTATTAATAGAGCACGGACTTGAGGGTAGACTCACATTTTTAATAAATTTGTTTCTGATTATGTGAAAGGATTTTCTGATTATTATTTATTTATAGAGTAAAACCTCGATTAACCGACTTTCGGATTAACTGTCAATCCCGAACTCCTAAAAAGAATTTTTTTTTTTTTTACGGGGATTAGCCCACCCGGGCACAGGTCACTGACCCACATCGGGGCCTGGGGGGCGATAATGTAATAATATTAATAATGATAATGATAATAATAATAGTAATAAAGAACCATAAATAAATGCAAAAATGAAAAAAAATCAAGAATGAGAAGCAATATATATGTGTTGTGTTGTCAATAGTAAGAGAAGCAATTGAGACCCTGCAATTGTGTGTAAATGAGGTAGAAAGTCGGATCAGCAACCTGGGACTTGGTCACAATTTTTGTGATGACATACGTTCTTTGACTTTTCCATTTTTTATTCACGGTTTCTGTGCTGGTTCATATTTATTTACTAAAGTGGTTAATGTTTTAAAGCAAATTCTATTGAAATATGAATGGCAAATGAACAAAAATGAATAGAGGGAATTAAATGAGGTAGGTTAGGGAAAGGTACTTTGAAAATGTATGTTTTATTTCCGTAGACTTTATGTACTATTAACTGACCTTTCGGATTATCCGTCGGCCCCTTCCCCCCATATGTGGTCGGTTAATCGAGGTTTTACTGTATGTGTTTTGTGTGTGTGTGTGTGTGTGTGTGTGTGTGTGTGTGTGTGTGTGTGTGTGTGTGTGTGTCTACACACACACACGTATTTACAATACAGGTAAAGGAAATTACTGTCTCTAGAACAAATGGCTCCCTGTCCCAGCCACAAAAATGCCAGCAACTTTAAAATTACCCAGACATTCTTGGCTACATCCAAGGTGTCATCTGCGAATAACCGAGAACCGCGAAGTAAAAATCCGCGAACTTGGGGGCACCCCCCCTGTACCTGCATTTTATTGACTTGATTTATTTTTTATTTTCACTTACAGTATTGTATTTTGTCATTCTATTTATTATTTTGTCTTAAATTAAGTGGTTTATATGTATTGTAAGTACGGTATGCATATAGAGTACCATGTGTTCCAACTTACGTACAAATCCGACTTATTTATTTACCTTAATATTAATGTTATCCCCATAAAAGACTTCTTACAAATCTATAATAAAGTTATTATACACCTGCAAAGTTCTTACACACCTGTAAAGGAGTTCTTAGAATTTCAGGTGTCTGATGAGGCTGCAGGGAGCTGTATCTGCTGCGGGAGAACAGGTGGTAGCAGATGCCGGGCTGACACCTTCCTGCCCGCCCTCGACGCTGTTGACTAGATGCCTGAGATATCCACACTGCACGTAGGCAAGACACACCCACCATCGAGTCATAACTCATCTGTAAAGAAACGTGCATAAAATATAAGTAAGCAATATATTTTTGGCACTTGTGGTGAGGTTGATTATTTCTGTAAATCAGGTCAAAGTTCTAAAATGCTTACCAAAATTATAAGATTCTTTAAGTTGATCTTGTCTTCTCTCAATTTTCCTTTAATATCTTTTAAGATATCAAGTCAACTGTATAAGTGGAAGAGTATTTAATAGGCCTGTGCACTTCACTTTAAGCTAGGACTAACATAAGACTTTTGTTGTGGGTAAAAAGTCAAACCAAAGATAAAACTCCACAAGATTGAAACTAAGATCCTGTCTGCCAGATCATGCCACTAAAACAGTGCGTGGAGAAAGTAACTTGACTTTACCTATAACTACAGGTGCTATACTCAATGGCACAACCTTAAAACCTGGCATATTCTTCTCCTCTGTAACAATATATGTTGTATTAAGTATTTTCTTCCAATATAATCTAGTCTCATCCACATTAAACACCAGCGCTGGCATACAACCCTCCTCAACGATGATGTTTGTATCTTTAAAAGTTTGTAGTAGAGGAACACCTGTTTAACACCAGTATAACACGATTTTCTGGCAAACTCAACGACTGAATTTCATTAAAAGCCCAAAGTCCGAAGTATCAGTCCAGGTAGTCTGAGGGCCAAACACAGGACAGCTCGAGTGATCATTTTTCTATTGCTCTATCAATTTTATATTAAACATGTAAATTATTATTAGGATCTTTATGCCTAGAGGCTACAGGCAGTAGTGACATTACATTATTACTATGCGTTAATTCTTAAAAATTTTGTTGCAAGAGCATTTTTATTCAGAGTAATTAAGTACTTTATAAATCTGTTACTCTTTACTTTTAATTGAAGTAACATGAAGAAAGAGTATTTCTTATTTTATATGAATAAGTTTTTCTAAGAGTAACCGTACTTTGACTCGAGTAACTTTTCCCAGTATTTTGTCCAATTACTGTACGTGTACTGTAGAGTATATCTTTATTAAAAGTAAGTAGAACAATAGATATTCAATATGATTGAATTCGCGGTTTATAGGTTATATCACGCCATCTATGGACGAGAATATATCACCGAGTTTCCAGTTACTCTTTGTTTTGGTTCTAATTTTAATGAATTTTCTTACTTCACAAGCCATGTCACATGTGGAGAGGGTATAAGTAGCAGTGCTTGGTTCCTGGGCGACAGTGGTACTCTCCAGGATACCACACAAGGATATACATTGGCTGTGTTCTCTGGAAGGTGGTGGTATTATTATTATTATCTGTCACTGTAAGAGGTGCCATCACTAAGGGAATATATGAAGCTTCTAGTCATGTTTGTTACTTGGATTGTTTGTCTCGGTGACTTGATTCATGTTCCTTGTGAGACTCCTACTCCTCCACCTTCACTTACTCTTATCCATGACACATTTCTGAGTGCTAGTGATGCCTGTACATTGTTTACCCTTGTATTATTATCAACCTAAGGTTATTATTATTAATCTTGAGTTACATGACATCATTCTAAGCACTAACACAGATATTAGTCATTTATAATGGAATATTAACTGTTCATGGAGTGACGTTCAATAAACCCTACACTTGCCGCCTGTACTCCACCCATCCTGTAGGAGTGAGCTACTGTTACAGTACTTTATAAACTCTATCTCTCTCTCCTTCTCTACCTGGTCCCCTTCTCTCACCTCTGAAGATATATTTTAGTTCGTGAGGAACAAATCCGTCAGAAACCAATGTACTTGAATCAAAATAGCTACTTACTTCCTTGACTTTACCAGCGTCCACGACATAAACGACGTCATTGATGGTCACGCTGGTCTCGGCGATGTTGGTGGACAGTATGATCTTCCGGACCCCTGGTGGTGCAGACCGGAACACTCTCTTCTGGTCGCTTGACTGTCAAATAAACAAATTTGAAAACATGTCCCAAAACAACATTAATGTAATTTTTATATGACAGTAATTTTTTTTATACAGTTGAGAGAGAGAGAGAGTGTACATACCTGCATACTAGAATGTAAACAAAAGAGACAGTATTTGCCCCCTACGAGATACTGTTTCTCCTCAGCGATGATGCGGTCCCTCAGGGTGACTATGTCGTCGTACCCCGGCAGGAAGATGAGAATAGCACCTGCGTCGAGGACATAAACGCATTAATTACCAACTCCTGCAAGTCCTGAGTTGCATATTTCTTGTCAACACATCATGTTCCATTACCTAGGTGGCTGGAATCTTTGAATGTTACTGTTTATTTCTGCCTTTGCTTATCTTCTTCTATTTCCTCATTTTCTAACATCCCCTTTGCTCATAGTTGGTGAAGCAAATCTAGTTCATGTCACAATATATATTGTGGTGTAAGAGTAATGCCCTCTAACATAACTCATTACTGTATGATGGGATGAAAATGAAGGAAGAGTCTATGTTGATCTGGATTCCAGCCACCCCGCACCAGTGTAAGGATGTATACAGTACTTGTTGGAGCCAAGCATAACATCTGAGGCACTCCAGCTCAGAGGTATAACTCTTTAAAAGTAATAAATGTTCAGTATCTTGTGATTTTCTTTTAAATTTGAGCTTTTGATCTCTAAATTATGATGGTATAAAGGAAAAGTAAATTCATGCACAAATAATGATGACGTGATTATTAGCTTATGATTCATATTTACCCAGTAGAGGCACTTCAAAACTTGGTAATCTTAAACAGCTCTTTCTTGCAGTCGTTACTTTTGTTACTTGCCTATTTCTGATCTGCAGCGACTCCTATAGACTGTATTTATATGCCTGTATATTGTGTTTATCCCTCACACAACCCTTTACTCCCAGGTAAACCAGAAGCAACAAAGACTCTCCACTTAAAATTGCTACATGTAATGGTTAATGTTGCAGAAAATATTGATAACATCCACTGAGAGAGAAAGAACGAGGCATTATGAAGTAGTTCCTTCACCTGGGGGCTGAGCAGTGTGAAGCTTGTAGCAGAGTGAGTGGACCAGGTCAATGTCAACAACCTCATCAGACACCGAGTGGTGGTAAGAGTCCAACATCCTCTTGTCCTCCAGGCTAAGCTCAGCAGGCGGTGCAGCTGGCGTGGAGCCTCGTAGACCTCCCTTGTTTGGAGCAGGACTACCTTTACCAGTCAGGGACAACAGATCCACACCTTCACAAGCACTTTAGTGTGTGAGAAAAATAAAGTCAAATGGAAACTTCAATAAGGATCAGGATGAGAAATGTTTAATTATAAAGAACACAAAGTAGCCAAATATGTGATTCATCCAACGACCTCTTCAATAAAATGTGTACTACAGTTACTTAGATTTTCTATGTGTACATATGAAACAGTTATACACATGGAGAGTATATCTTTCCGTTTACAGAGTAGCAAGTGATCAGTCTCCTCACCTGTATGCATGTAGTAAATCTAAAGCTTCTTGTTGGCCAGTAGAATTGGCCCAACTGGCAGCGGTCCAATCATTAGCAGCTCGCAAGGTGAGAGATGCTCCAAGGGCTAGAAGCTGCTCCACTATGTCCACGCGACCTCGGCCAGAAGCAACCATGAGAGGGGTCGCCCAAGTCTCTGAGTGCTGTGGAATGTTGATTAAACTGATGATTAAGCACCCTAAAGCTACCTGGGAGAGGGGGGGGGTTAGGTTAGGTCAGCATTAGGGTGGGTAGGATTAGGTTAGGTCAGCATTAGGGTCGGTAATCTTAAGGTGATACAAGCTAGAGAGCTAATCTTCACGTAGTCTAGTTATATAAAAAAAATTACTCTACTCATTACCTATATGAACATATGGTTTTTAAATATCTATTTTTCCTCTCTCAGGTCTACTCCCACCATAATGCAGGTTGAGGTGCAGGTAGAGTCAAGAACACACAAACTCTCCCTTTCATATCTAGCCATTCAGGCAGTTCTTTGTTATGACATTCATTATCCAGTGATAGTATTGGAGAAAACCTGCCTTATTTGGTGATGGAAGTGGTACTACTCTCAGTGCAACTAAGACAACTCGTACTAGAAGTACTGTGATAGAAAAAATGGAAAAGATGCTGGGAATGTGGATGGAGTACCAGAATTAATGTAATGCGCCTGTGAGCCTTATGGTTATCCAGCATAAGGCCAGATCCTTGTTTGATGACATAAAGAAAGATAAGGGTGAAGGATCAAAGGAAGAGACCTTTACGGCCAGCCGAGGCTGGTTTCAATGATTTAAGCGTCGGTATAACTTCCACAACATAAAGATGACTGTTGAAGCTGCTAGTTCAGATACAGTTGCTGCCGAGACATTCCCGACAGAATTCAAACGGATTATCCAGGAAGGAGGCTACTCATCGAAGCAAGTCTTCAATGTGGATGAGACTGGTCTCTCTTGGAAGAGGATGCCTGAGAGGACCTATATCTCCAAGGAGGAGAAAAGAGTGCCAGGTTTTAAAGCGGCAAAAGACCGCTTGATGTTGCTGCTTGGCGCGAACGCTGCTGGCGACTTCAAGCTGAAGCCTATGCTGATTTCTCGAGCTGCCAACCCACGGGCCCTGAAAGGTTACTCTAAGGATCACCTTCCAGTCATTTACAAGGCAAACAAGAAGGCATGGATAACCAGCGCCATATTTAGCCAATGGTTGAATGTGTACGCTGTCCCTGCACCGAAGGAATACTGTGCCAAGAGAACCTTGACTTCAAAATTCTTCTAATCGTTGATAATGCTCCAGCTCATCCTCCCATTCTCGATGACTTGCATGACAGTGTAAAAGTTGTATTCCTGCCTCCCAACACGACAGCACTGATGCAGCCTATGGGCCAAGGCATCATCACCACATTCAAGGCATTTTACTTATGCCGCACCATGGTCCAGCTGCTCAAGGCTACAGACAGAGAAAATAAACCAACGATCCAAGGGTATTGGCGTGGTTTCAACATTCTTCATGCAATTGACAACATTGGCAAGGCATGGGAAGAGGTTTCAGAAAGTTGCCTGAATGGTGTGTGGGGTAAACTGTGGCCCGAATGCGTCAACAGTTTTACAGGATTCACGGACTTAGTCCCAGCTGTGAATAGGGATATCCTCAGCTTGGCTAGACTGGCAGGCTTTGATGAGCTGGAATCAGAGGATATTGAGGACGTCCTGGCATCCTACACAGAAGAGCTCACCAACGAAGATCTGCAACAACTAACAGAACACAGTCCCGTTGAAGACGACGACGACAAAAAGAACTTCAATGAACGCTAACTTCCATGAGGTAGGCAGATTCGTTGAACATGTTCCAGCAACCAATGCAAATGCTTCTAGATGACGACCCAAACAGAGAACGTAGCTCACAGGTTCAACACAGCATTGATGACAGTCTTGGTTGTTACACTGAGATCTGTAAGGAGAAGAAGAAGAGTAGCACCAAGCAGTCAACACTGGATTCATTTGTTCGTTGCGGGACGACAGAAGCAGCTTCTTCATAACAGCCGGCAGCCGAGGAGGAGCAAACAACAACGGAGGAGGAACAAACTTCAATGGAGGAGGAACCCCAGTCAGCGCAGGAGAAGGCAGCCATATTGTCTCAGTAACCCTCCTCCTCTCCCACTCCCGCCGTCCTCCTCCTTCGCTTCACTACCCACCACACACTCGCTCTACCACCTCCGCCCATCGGTGAGTACCAATACAAACTTAGTACTGTAGTTCTATATACTATTTTCTATAGAAATGGCAATGATTTTCTGTATATGCAATGTTTTTCATGGGGCAAAGGAAGGCTGGGGAACGTAACTCCCGTATCCTCTTATGGGGAAAATTGATCAGCTTAATGTTGTTTTATATATATATATATATATATATATATATATATATATATATATATATATATATATATATATATATATATATATATATATATATATATATATATATATATATATATATATATATATATACTGTATAGTAGTAGTAATTTGTGATAATAACCTGATAGTCTGGAGAGACATTCTCTGACATGATCAGGTACATCATCTGGGAGAAAGCTTCATCTGAACCATTGAGGAAAGCTTCCTGGATGCACTGGTCCATTTCTTCTTTCAATGTGTTGTCCAACTCTGTATTAAGAAATAATTGATGGAATCATTACAAACATTGCATGTTGCAATTAAATCAGATACAGGTTGTACCTCTCTAGTCCGGCAACCTCGGGACCTGACCGGTGCCGGACCATGGAAATTCACCCATTTCCTGGATAGATAGTGACTTGTGCATACACTTGGAAGCACTAGCACCACTTTCACTGCTTCGTGGTCTCTTTGAAGATATATTGAAGGGTTTAATGTTGTACAGTAGGTTCTCAAATTTCACGAGTTTTTAATTCAACGTTTTTTATTTGGACATACAAAAAAACACTTCACAATTTAAAATTTCGACGGCGAAAACTCGAATTTCGACGGGTTTGAGCAGCCCGCCAACGTTCAGACATGCACAATTGTGTAAACAGCGTCATTTTTCTATGTACAAAACATTCATTATTGTTTATTACTGAATGTCTTTTTGATTGAATTAATGTTTATGTGTGCAAAATGAACAATACAATTCATTAATAATACGTAAAATATTAAAACACATGAGGAGACGAGACAGCATTGTTTTCGTTAATGTTTACAAAACCAGTGACTGATTGGTTCTACAGTACATATAAAACTGAAGAAAATAAGACCCTGGTTGTAGCTGTAGTAAAATTAATATGGTTGTTTTAAGTAATGTTATTTAATGTTAATAAATGGAACTTTGGAAGTAGCTAACCATTAATGGTATAGAAAAAAGTGAGATCACGTATGTAAGTGAGCACATGTGTAAACATATCGTCATTACTCTACATAAGAATATGAAAGCAACACTTATTTACTGTTCATATATATTCTAATTAATGTTTCTGAATTTAAAACAAAAATTCTACCCACCAGTGGTGGTAAAGTTGAAAACATAAAGACAGCCAATGTTGTTGTGTGTTTTTACTCGGATGACGAAGTTGCCAAGCCATCAGGTTCAACTCTAGCTAAAGCTGTAGAACATAAGAACTTTTCTGTGTTTTTTTAGTTTTTATTTAACTTTATCTGTGTTATTTTCATTGGTTTATTAGGATGTTGCTTTATTACAGGTAGTAATTCGCCAAAAAAGTAGGGTAAATAAGGCCAAATTTAGACAAACATCGAAAGTACCAGACTCAAATTAATTTTCTCCATGGGCAAACTAAAATTGTTCCGGACCACGGGAGTTTCTGGACCACAGAATGCCGGACTAGAGAGGTACAACCTGTACAATACATGATAGGAAACATGAAAATGTTGAGTTAACCAATACACATCATGAAACCTGATTATTACAGTAACTGAGGCATAACACTGAGTTGTCAAGACTCAACTCATCACAAGAAGAACCCAAATACTATACTGTACATCACACCATTGCCAGGACCTGAGTGAGACAACAATGATGCTCGACACACAACACAGGCAGATGAGGAGGTAAGGATGACAGTATAAAAAGTATCCTACTATATATCACTTCATCTTTCATCAATATTTGAGCTCAGGTTCTGCTCTGAAATCTTGATCATCACTTACTATGAGACATTCCAGGTGTATGGTCAAGTTCCATTTACTCGAACTTCCAACTTTATGAGGTAGTATTAAATGGGCTACAGAATTTTTTTGTCTAAATTTTGGTGCGTAGTTGTGTCTCTGAGTAAGGTATATGATACTTCAGCCCTGAAAGTGAAATATCCTGTGATTATATATACTGAAGTGAATGGTACATGAGAAACCACTCTCACATTGCATAAAGCTTATTTTAAGACTCAATGAACTAGTAAGAGTGTTCAAGTCCTTGTCTAAATATCTGCAATATCAGTAGAGTCTTTCAAATCAATTGTTATAGCTTTGTTTTTGACTATACGGTATACGTTTTGGGCCAACTGTAAACTTCTATGACGATTTTACCGAATAAACATTAGTCAACAAGTCATATGCCAAAACTGTAAAATAAGTTGAACATATCACACATTTTCACACAAGGAGAGAGAGAAAGGGGTCTAATAGCTTTTGATACTGGAAAAAAAACTCTCAGCCTATCCAATATATTCTGTGCTTCTCTAATTGCATGTTCAATGGATCACAGGTTCCAGAAAACTCCAAATACAGGAGAGAAGGATAGAGAACAACATAAAGGGACACACATTAGAAATATTACACACACAGACACAGACACACCATCATACTATATTGTACATACAAAAGGAATCCTTAGCCCCCGACCTGCTTCAAAATACACCACATTCACCCTGCATACAGTACTAAGGAAGATGAGTCGCAGGTTCATCCATCTAAAACAACCATATATGAAAGAAGCCCAAAGTGCATAATTCAAAATCACTATAAAATAATATTACCGTAATTTTTTGCTTGACTGGCAATAAATGACCTGTTGGGTGAGGTGACAGCAGCTGCCCCAGACATATCACAGAGAATCTGCTGCGACATTTGCTGCGTCCACGCTGCAGCGGTCTTCTGTCCACTCTGCCGTTGATCCAGTTCCTTGGAAGCCTTCACCATCTCTGGAGTTTGGTAGTTGGTGCTGGAAGAGTATATAACTGTGTGTAATATGATCTCCCCCAAAAAATTGTGTGTGTGTGTGTGTGTGTGTGTGTGTGTGTGTGTGTGATCGCCATAAAAAAATCTAAATGTCAAGGTACTTTTTTTATTGACAGCAGTGGCCTCAAGCATAACAGTTACCAAATATTCATAAAAAAAAGTCCTCCCCTTAGAGAGCAGCTCCCATGGGAGAAAAGTGTCTTAAACAAGATGAAATTTAATACTCACTATTTCAAGACATCTTCTAAGTAATACTCCTTCACTGAGTAACACCTTCCAGGAACTATTGTCAAAGATAAGATAACAAACTGTAAGTAAAAGTGGCTAACAATGAAAAAAAGAAAGTGAGAAAATTATGTTCACTGATTTACATCCTTATTGCTATCATAGTAACAGCAGTCGGATTAATGAAAACCTGCCCAGACTCAACCTTGCACACTGGTCCACCGAGTACAGTATAACTCTCAAGTAGTAGACTTGATGAGACTAATCCTGAAAAGGCTACACCTCACACATTACCGGACGTATACAATAAATTTCATATTTCTCTCATGAGTACAGAAGTTGCAGAAGAGTCCCACAATAAAAGTATTCACAGACACACAGTGTGACTATTGCATCCCCCACCCACCCTGACTTGGGATAATAAACACCAATAAATACAACGAGAGGGGTAACTTACCATCGATCACTGGACAGTTGTTGAAGTACTTGGCATAGAGATTAACATCCAGCGCAGCGGACATGAGAAGAAGTTTAAGGTGCCGGAACTTGGGGAGGCAGTCTCGTAGCACTAACAGGAGGAAGTCTGTGAATCGGTCTCGTTCGTGGACCTCATCGACGAGGACTGTCACAGGGAAGAGATTCTCAGTTATGGAAAGTGATTAAATGGAAGAATTTCACAGAAAAATTAATGTACTAAAATCTGTGACAAGCCAAAGTTAGTTCTAATTAATGTAAAGCATATTATTTGGAAGTAGACTGTTGTGGAAACCATTAAATGCCACTGACGGACAACACAAAGCACAACGCAAAAACACAACCCACAAATACAGTGAGTGCAAGGGCGTGACCGAGTAAAAATTGCACGCCACTGACGGGTCATGTGATAAATTATGTAATACCTGATAACTCTCTAGATCACTTCACATCTTTCTGTAACATTACACTACGTTTACACAAAATATCAGGTTCCTAACTGATTTCATTTTTAGTGTATGGGAATTATTTAGGGTTCTAGAATAAAAAAAATCAACCCATACTGCATTACTAATCTTGTACAGTAATATCTCTCATTTCGCATGATGTCTTGAATAAAGACGAAAGCTAAGGTACTCCGTTGTTTCCATTTTCCCGTGTGATTTTATCAAGATTTATCTTATCCACGTTTTCATTGTAGATTATATATATATATATATATATATATATATATATATATATATATATATATATATATATATATATATATATATATATATATATATATATATATATATATATATATATATATATATATATATATATATATATATATATATATATATATATATAATAATCAAGTATAGTAAAAGGCAGAGAGAGACCTTTCCCACTTACTGTGCGTCACACTGGCAAGGGAAGAGTCGCCCCCCATCAGGGTACGTAGTAGAACTCCGTTGGTACAGAAGGTCAGCAGAGTCTTCGGTGATAACCTTTAAAAAAATAAAATAAAATAAAAAACAATAAATATTTGAGTCAAGTACTGTACAGCATTAAGTATTTCTCTCTACAGGTGGCAGTTCATTCGTATCTTATCTGAAGCCTATCACCTGTCATAACCCCGTATAAGGTTATGTATGGACACGTACACCCTTTGAATTTTGTCACACAGTGCTTAGTACATATACAGTATATACCCCTGGCGATTTAAATTTCGCACACGGTCAAATTCGAAAGAGAACCAATATGACATATTATTATTATTGCAATAATAGAATAACTGGCAACTTGGAATGCTTGAGGGTGGCTAGAGGGGCTTATCTCAATGTTGGATCAGTGTGATAAACCATATCACGGTGTAAGACCCTTAGTAACGAGGAAATTGTACAGCATCTGTTTCCTATGGAGCAGCGTGAACCCGAGGATGTTGACAGTGTTACCGAGTGCTGCTTTACAACTCGTGGTGATAGTGACTCTGATGACCCAGAATATATTCACATGGCCAGGCTGCACTCTCCTCACGTGAGCGTCGTGCCTCCCACAGCTGCCACCACCTCCCAAGCTGAGAGGATGTAGATGTAAGGTGACAGGAGCTATGACCTCGCATGACAAGTGTTACCACCACTGACACCTGATAATGGTGGTGGGGGGGGGGTAGGTGATCACAGGTGCATTGAGGAGGGGGGAGTCAGGGTAGATGATTACAAGTGCAGGGGGGGTTGGTGATCACAGTGCAGGGGAGTCAGGGTAGGTGATCACAGGTGTAAGGGGGAGGGGGGGTTATCGAACAAAGGAATTAGTCATCAGCAAATTCATGGATAAGTTTACCATCAAACAACCCAGAGGGAGACGATATATATAAAGATTTATTTATTTAAGGGTTAGTGTGCAAGATTTTCACTTAACTTTGAAGTCAAGATATAGTAGGACTTTTTTAACCCCCTTGCATATGTGGCCCTCTCTGAGTAGAATAAAGTTGTCTGGCATTAGCTAAACAAAGTAGTAAAAGTAGTGTCCCAGTAGTGAAGAAGTGAGCAAATTTTGGTGCAGGTGGCGTGGCTAGTTGGTTGGTTGGAGTGGGAGGAAATGTGTGTGTTTGAGCCCCTTGTTATTAGAGGGATTTCTCTGCTCCTGTTATCAACGTTTATGACAATTTTATGATACTTTACTGTGCATGAGAGGCATTGAAGGGTGTCATGGGACCATTCTGTCAGGCCCAGGTGTAATAGAATTTACTTAGTTGTGATTTAACCATGGATGAAGCTCCTGCTAGGTGGACTAGAAGGCTATAAGGCTACTGCTGGTGATTGACAACTGCCCAGGTCATCCGGAATCCTTAATGTTTGCCCATCCTAACATCGAGGTAGCCTTTCTCTCAAAGAACTGCCTCACTCACCCAGTCACTTGACCGAGGTGTTATTGCTATTTTAAGACAAAATATGTTGCTTGAAACTTCACCAGGGTCAGACAAGTGCTGGAAGAGGACAAAATGGATGTCAGGCAGTGTTGGAAAAAGTTTAACATTGCCGACTGCATCACATTAATTAAGAAAAGCACTGATGATCTATCTTCCCACTGTGTCCACTCATACTGAAAGAAATTGTGGCCTGAAGCCGTCAAAGACTTCAGTGACTTCCCTGTATTTATCGATTGAATGGCTTACTTTACGAGCTATGATATTGAGCGTAGTATCTGCATTCTTTTTCCTTAATAAGTCAGGCCAGTGTATACTCATCTCCTCGCTCATCCCATCATAATTTCCTTTGTAATATTTGAACCTGGACCGTTTTTGTACATCATTTCTACAACACCTACCATATTGGGTTGATGTACCCGCAGTATTGTTACAAACTCCGCTCTCATGTCGAGGAACGTGTCAGTACAGTGGTCCCTCGGTTAACGAACACAATCCGTTCCTGCAGGTTGTTCGTTAACCGAAACCATTGTTTCAATGGGTTTTTGGGTAATTGGTTCCAGCTCACCGAAAATTGCCTAAATTCAACAAAAATGGTAGAAAAGTTCACTTACTTTGAGGTGTGTATGTAGAAGGCTCCTGGATGATGATGATGGGAATTAGAATGGGGGTGGAGGAGAAGGAAGAAGAGAAGGCATTGGGGTGGAAGAGAAGTCACCCCATGGCACCATTTCACCCATAAAATTTTAGTTCTCTTGGTGTATTTCAAGATTATTTTCTTTAAATCAACACTGCACTGCATTATATATTGTCAATATGTAAAATATATTTCAAAATGACCAATAATTTGCTTGGAAACACAGAAAAAAAGCGTTTAGTTGAAGAGTCTCAAGCAAGATGTTACCTCCAGTGAAAACAGAGAGAGACTAACGCCTGTTTGCTGTGTTAAGAGGCTGGATGCCGCGCATTAAACTAGTCACTTTACCTTCAATTATGTTCAATAATTGTTAAAATGACTAAAAAATTGAATATTAAACTATTAAAATCATTGAATAGTATAAACTTCTTGATATTTACTAAAATAGTAAGGAATTTAAGCCCTAGAACCGATTAATGTATTGGCGGACTAATACTAAAGCTGGTTGACCGGCCAGTGCAAGCGAAAATATGTTGAGGTCGGTTCGTAAGAAATTCGTTAACCGAATTTTTGTTCATTAACCGAATTTAAGAATCTTATGGGAGGCAGTTCATTAACCGAAATTTCGTTAACCGAGGGACCACTGTATTAGCGTACATGACTTTCAAGCTGGAAATTGTCCTCTGCAATGTCTCTGGTCTTGGTATTGTCTCCGGCCCTCCTCCATTCTGTGGTTCTGTGCTGGTGTTCTTGTTCTCACTACTCACGCCTTGTATATAACCCAAGTACATCCGTCCCAGCTCCTCATCGACTCCTTCCCCCTCTGCTTCAAGGACTCCAAGAGTTTTTTGTGCTGTTCCTTTTGCATTACCGTGCGATCTGGGTTTATGAATATTCCCTGAAATGTATCGCTCCTTGCTAAGTTTTTTGCATGTTGATCCTCCTGCCTTTGCCCTAGCCTCCTCATGCCCTGAGTGGGAGCTGATAATTTCAGCGCCCCATCACAAATATTTTGAAATTTGAACTTGTTGTGTGTTATACTTGTTTCAGCTTCCTCCTACTGGCTCTCAGGGACTCTAATCACTGTAATGTTGTTTCTACGCTCTGAATGTTCCCGTTTCTCCTATTCTCCCACATTAGTAGGTCTACTCGTCGTCAATTCATTAATGCACTTCTACAGTCCCAAGCCGCTGGAGAACCTGTTTGGATCCTGAATTACTCTCCGTCGCTTCACTGTGAGGCGAGTTAGCGAGGTGAAGGGTGAGTTGATGAGGCAGGAGGTGTTGTGACGAAGCACTTCAACAGCACTGCTAAACCATTGTCTTATAAAATTGTAATTTCAAATTTCTATTATAAAATTACTGTACTACCATGGAAATTATTGACAATAATAAGTGTGGTTCCAAAATTTGCTACAATGACTTCATATATATCAAGCATGCCACTCACACAACCAACTTGTGGTGGAAATGTGACCAAAGAACCAGTGGTCGCCGTCAGGGCAGCGTGACAATAAACTTTGCTCCATTACTATACGTTGTGATTTTTTTATATACCTACATTACAATGCCACGATACTGTGCATTTTGTCATCAATCTGTAGATGTTGTCTACATTACTGCCAATTAACAACCACCATAAAATGCATTTGTTAATGATACTTAAACAAAATGTCAATGTCTTCCTTGTCAAAATTTTGTTACTTTATTTCCATTCACAAAAAAATCCCCCCCCCCCCCCCCATAGAGTGCTGGATCTGCCCCTAGGTCACTCCTGCCTGTCTTCACTTCATAGATCAAGTCCCCCTCCATCTTCACCCCAGGTCTTCATAAATCACTGTGCAAGTACTTTAATCTTAAGTGTGGTCACAATCTCAGATTCATAGTCCATATATCTCTGCCAAATGGATCCAGAGAATATTAGTGAAGTGTGATACGAATTAGAAAATAATTTTACACACTAAAAATTATGTCACAAAATTCTCTCTTACTTACTTGCTTTCCAGTCTGATCTGATAGCCAACTGTATACCCCACTTTCTCTCCTCTCTCTGCTGCCACTCTCTCTGCAATAGTTAGTGCTGAAATTCTTCGAGGCTGTGTACAAAATATACGACAAGGCTTCCCCAATGACGAGGCTTCTTGGAGTAGCATTTGTGGTACCTGGGATATAAAATATACATAAAACATTAATTTTCTCTTCCCAGCTTTATTGATATATTTAGAGTACCAAAATAATTATGTTCTATGGTATGAAAATAAACAGTCACATTAGAAGCATCATAAGTAACCTGTAAAAAGAAAACCAGGAAACAGCTACCCATATCTCAATAGTACAGTATTCCAATTACATCTAAATACCTCAAAATATGTTTTAAATGTGTTTCAAAAGGTTCTAATTAAGATGGAAGAGGTTTTCAATTGGGAAGCTGATTATAAATGGATGGAATAGGTTTTCAATAGGGTGGGTGCAGAAGGGTAGAGTAACACAAATAACAACTAACGCAATACAGTACTCGGCCCAAAGCTTCCAGGAGGAAGCAGACTTCTGTTATTCATCTGTCTAAAACATGGAAATGGCTGACAGCTATTAAACAAGGAGATACTACTGCCTGGAAAGATATTGGAAGCATAATGTGTTGTCTAATGGTAGACTCTGCTGCTATATGGCATCCCGAAAATTGTGACCAAGTCCCAGGTTGCTGCTCTGACTTTCTACCTCATTTACACACAATTGCAGGGTCTCAATTATTTCTCTTACTATTGCCAACACAACATACATATAGGTATATTGTTTCTCACTCTTGATTTTTTTTCATTTTTGCATTTCTTTATTATCATTATTATTATTATTAACATTATATTAGCCCCCCCCCCCAGGCCCCGATGTGGGTCAGTAACCTGTACCCGGGTGGGCTAATCCCCGTAATAATTTTTTTTAGGGGACCGGGGTCGGCGATTAATCCGAATGTCGGTTAATCAAGGTTTTACTGTATTTTTGTATTTATTATTATTATTATTATACAGTGAGTTCTGCTATAACGCGTGTTTTGACAACGCGAATTGGCTCTAACGCGATTTATGAATAGAGGAACGATATTTGTATAACGCGAACGCTTGTTTGCTGTAACGCGATTTTTGCTTGCTATTTCTCCAATTTTGTGGTATTAACTGTGAATATGGTAAAGAATAATATCTCCAAGAAGCGTTCTGGTGATCGCATTCCCGGTGATGATCGTAAAAGAAAGGCTATAACCCTTGAAGAGAAGCTCGATGTTATCTACCTCAAAATCACCCTTCTCCCCCATCAAGTTATATTCATATTTTTTCAAGGTAAAGTGTTACATTTACTGTATGATTTCATTATTAGATATGAATGTAACATTTATTTAGACTGTGCTAACCTGAGTTGTCTTGCCAGATCCAGTCTCTCCACACACCAAGATGACCTGGTTGTGGTGAACGGCGGCAAGGAGTTGGTCCCTCATGTTCCATATAGGTAACTTCCTCGCCTCTGCCGTCAGATCGCTGAGACTTGGCGGCGGCGGAATCTGTGGCGGCCCGGGCGTCAGACGGCCCAAGGATCGTAATACACTGAGGTCTCTTACTGAAACCATACGAGTTCTTCATTATACTTCACTATATTTTATGTCATTTATATTATCTTTCTTCATAATGTACAACTTTTGTGTTACAAAAATTGCAGAGATATGGGGGAAAATAGTACAGTACAGGAGGAAAGTGCAAGACCAATGTGGACAGTAACAATTAAGGCTGCACACATCAACTCTGAGATCTAGGTGTATCAGTCATGACATTTAAGACATCAGGGTAAAACTAAAGACTTACGTTGATCAGATTTAATTTTTTCACATGTGTCGTATATTCCCAGAGAATCGGGTTACCCTTTAAATACTGTCAAAAATAAATACCAGGCCTGCCCTACGTTAAAAAGACAAAAACAAAACAAACACAACCCCAACTCACACTCAGGATTCATAAGTCGGTCTCTCTCAGTGGCTGGCAGAAGGTCCTGTCGCTCCTTGTTGGTGACCGGGCAGCGTTGCAGGAGGCCTAAGATGGTGGAGCGAGTAGGATCAGCCAGACTAACCACAGCCTCACTGCTCATAATGGTTGATCCCTCTTTCTTGTACACTGTCAGGTAGCGGGAGGAGCCTTTCCTGAAATCACAAGAGCAACTGTAGTTTTAAGGTCGCTGCCCATTATATAAACTGGATTTATTACCATTAACCTGTTCTCTCTCATTAAAAAAATCTATCTACAGTACCTACCTTATCTTCTTTACTTAACTTACCTAACTTATCTTAGTCACCTCATTTATCTTATTTACCTCACATATCTTAGTTACCTCATTTATCTTATTTACCTCACTTATCCTTCCTATTGCACTCTCCCATTTTTGTGTGTTCGGTGCATCAAAGGCAACATTCACCTTAAAGGAACGTCAGGAAGGGAAGGAAGGAACGTCAGCTTAAACAGACATTCCCTTAGTTAAGCCTCGTTCCCTTAAAGAAAAGGCAGTAGCTAGAGCAGGGGAGAGCGGGGCAGCTGAAACCATTTCAGTACCGTGGAACTTGTATTTAACGGACTAAGTGTATTCAGTATGAGAGGTTAGTCTGTTAGATCAAAATCCGTAAACTGGGGGTCTCACTCAATACTGTACCATCACTATAAAGCCAATGTTTCCTTACCCTCGACTTTTGCTCTTGAAGCCCATCTGCTGCGACAAAAAATGGATGTATTTCCTCTCCTCTGATGTGAGGGATGATGGTAACTCCAACTCTGAAAGCACAAAACTGTATATAAGTTTTATATCAATGATACAATATGCATAACCTTACTGATGTGAAGCCTGTACTGTACACTCACTCCGCTAACTATCTTTACAGAGTGGTCACATAAATTTCAAAAGGAACGCCACGATTCCTGTTGTCTCGGTAGGGTTGTGCTATACAGTACTGTATTGTCTATTCCCCCTTACTACCATATAAAGTTTCATTAATACAGAGGGATGGAAACAGCCACAGAAAACTGTATTAATGAGAGGACATTTCACAATCATGACATAACAACATCTGTAATTTTGACGGGAAATATTTTTACTTTCATCATCTTCGCCACTCATTGGCTCGTTAGCCACTTGGGCGGTCAGTCACATCTCTGTTATGCACTGTTAGCAAGTACTGGGCATGCAATGGCTCCTGAATGTATCTGAACCTACTCCAGTGTTGGTCAAGTCTGGTCTTGAAAAGGCTCACACTCGGTGCCGTCACAAAACTCTCTGGCAGATTGTTCCACTAGTTCATAATTCTCCTCTGAAAAAGTTTGCCCTTTTTCTAGATTTGTGGCTTCTTCAACCTTGAGCTGTGACCCCTAGCAATCATATGGGTTTTGTCCTGTATAATAAGCAGTGTCTGGAGCTTCCCTGTAGTGCACTATGATATTAAAGGATTTCTCAAATATGCCACATTTGAAAACTTAAAACATAAAGAATATCAATGACTTTTAACAACAATGATGATGACTATGACACTGAGATATGGTAAGAACACTCGTGCAATGCATGTAAGAGCAAAAAATTAGTTCATCATTTTGCTGAGGAAAAAGCACCAGTTCAGTTTTCTTTACAGTAATTCATAACCAAATGTACTGTAGTGTATCACAATGCTTTGACCTGTATGATGGAACATGCACAACAATATTGTTTGGTGTTGGTGGTGCTGCAGTAACGTGTGTACAGTACTTTACACCACTGGCCCAGGACACACATAGAGGGGTGTCTCCCACTACCAAACATCACAGGTTTCCTCTGGGTAAACCAGATTCCTTATGAAGTAACACTAGATAACAAAGAACAGGCCAACCACCTGCATGGCCAGTAAGCTGATAAGTGAGAAAATTTTTAAATAAAATTTAAAAATAAATATTTGTGTTACATGTCATAAATTTTCTAATATAGTCAGTAAACCTTACCTTTCTGGTCATCATTTTGAGTGAGTTTCTTCAGTGCCAGGGCTATGGTAATCTTCAGCTCCTCACTAACCTGGGCCTCATTCACCAGACGGTTTGGCCCGCGCCGACGGCCCATTTTGACCTGTCCAAGATTAAGTTCTCTTTAATTTAATATTAGGTAATATGATGCAACCAAATGAAAACTAATTACCTGTACACATAGGTTAGAAATTCCTTGGTACTAACAGTATAATATAACTCATATACCGGTAATAGAGAAAAACAACCAAAGATATACCGTACTGCACTGTATTGCTTAACTAAGAATTAATTCATTAAAACAGAAAAGTCCCAAATTTCCCAAAAAATTATGAAGTAAATTCTATTATCATCCAAAGAACATCTTTGGGTGATAACAGTCTCCACCTCTATTATATACAATAATAATAATAATAATAATAATAAAAATGATAATAATAATAAAGAAAAAATACAGCCACTCCTTGAATTACGACGGGGTTAGGGACCCAAATCCAGGTCGTAAGTCGAAAATGGGAAAATAATAAATAGAAAATCTAAAATGGGTGTCTCTTTTTCTTCTCAGCACCAAAAAACTCTCACTTTTAAGTATGACAGCCATTTTAAGGGGAATTACAAACGAAAATTTTGTCAGTACACAGCGCAGTCACTAAAGTCGGGACTTGAAAATACGTAATTTGAAAATTTTTTGGTACGACTGGGGCGGTTGTATGTCCGGGTGGTCGGAAGTCAAGTAGGTCGTAAGTCGAGGAATGGCTGTATAATTACTTTACTCTATAATATTTGCGTTGGAAATTTTTATTTTTCAATTTCTCTTAAGTAGCTAAGTAATAACAACGATGCAACAACATTTCCCTATACCTGTAATTTTAAGTACAGTTTTACCCCGCCTAACGCGGTTTCACTTAACGCGTTTTCGCATATACGCGGTGCCTTGCCAAAGCTGAACTTTCACTTAACGCGGATTTTTTCCACATATACGCGGTGAGTGTCCGAGACGCTATTTTTAGATTTGCCCCACCCGCCACCCTGCCTGACTGCCTGTTTTAGCTCATAAAATTCATACAAATTACCAGGCCAGAATATAATTTACATTGCTGGAATTCTTATAATTTGGTGATCATTTTGAATATAAACATCATATATTTTGCTTTAAACTTACAATTTTTAGATAAAATTTTTTCTCTAGGTAACTATGGTATCTTTTGTGCAAAATATATGACATTTATATTCAAAATATTCCTGGTCTTACAAGGAATCCAGCAATGTCAATTATATTATCCTAACTTTAGTTTGAGGTATTATTTATTAAAATTTAGTGGTTATCCCACACATCTCCTTGGGACGGTTGGTGGGGGGTGGGGGGGAGGGAGGGACCGACCGACCATCTGTTACCCTGTGAAGAATTATTATTTTTTTTTATTAACTGAAGATATTTGTTTTAGCTCATAAAATTCATACAAATTACCCGGTCAGAATATAATTTACATTGCTGGAATTCTTATAATTTGGTGATCATTTTGAATATAAACATCATAGATTTTGCTTTAAACTTACAATTTTAGATAAAAATTTTTCTCTAGGTAACTATGGTATCTTTTGTGCAAAATATATGACATTTATATTCAAAATATTCCTGGTCTTACAAGGAATCCAGCAATGTCAATTATATTATCCTAACTTTAATCTGAGGTATTATTTAATACTAAATGTTAAAAACCCTGGAAGGGAGGATTGGTGGGGGGTGGGGGGGAGGGTTGGGACTGACCGCGCGGTTGGAAGAGGGGGGGAGGCAAGGTGGGGTACTTTGATTGACAGATAGTGTTGTGAAGATTATTATTTTTTTTATTAACTGAAGATATTTGTTTTAGCTCATAAAATTCATACAAATTACCCTGTCAGAATATAATTTACATTGCTGGAATTCTTATAATTTGGTGATCATTTTGAATATAAACATCATATATTTTGCTTTAAACTTACAATTTTTAGATAAAAATTTTTCTCTAGGTAACTATGTTATCTTTTGTGCAAAATATATGACATTTATATTCAAAATATTCCTGGTCTTACAAGGAATCCAGCAATGTCAATTATATTTTCCTAACTTTAGTTTGAGGTTATCCCACACATCTCCTTGGGACTGGTTGGTGAGGGGTGGGGAGGGACCGACCGACCATCTGATAACCGGCTGTGAAGTGTGAGAGGGGGAGGAGTTGAGTCCATTATTTGAATGGACATTAACTTAGCGACTGTATTTCTCATTTCTCTAAGTGTTAATTGTGTGCATGTACCATCATAAAATTAAGATGTTATTTTTACTACAACATGGGTATGTGCCTTCAAAAGTGGAGTTTGGGGGGTGGCGGTTTCTATTGGAATTAATCCCATATGTTCTGTTGTTCATACAGCGGTTCATAACCGGGACCCTCTGGGTTCAATTGATTGGCGTTAAGTGGGGAGTCTAACTGTACTGTACAGTCGTGTATCTTAAAAAAAAAAATTGGTTCTTTACCCTTCATCTGGCCACGCTACGCTCTCTCGGCTCAGCGTGCTACCTCTCACCAGCGGAACGTCACAGCATACCCAAGCGACACCAAGCCAGTCTCTGTTACGTTTCCACATCATTCGTGTGTACTTTAGTGTTTTTGCTCTAAATACTGTACTCTAACCATACAATTGGCATCCAAGGGCACATCAAGTGCTACTGATGCTAGTGTTGTGAAGAAGCAACATAAGACCATTACCCTTGCTACGAAAATGGATGTTTTAAACCGGGAGGAGGAGCCACCCGCCTGGTCTCAGTGACTCGCCATCCTCTTCCTCCTCTCCACTACCCACCACACACACTCGCTCCACCACCTCCGTCCATCAGTGAGTACAATACAAAATTATTTAGTTTATTTATATACCTGTATATAATATTTTCTATAAGAAATGCCATTGAATTTCTGTATATGTAATGCATTTCATGGGGAAAAGGGAGGCTCAGGAACGTAACTCCCGCATTTTATCTATTTCTTATGGGGGAAATTGATCCGCTTAACGTTGTTTGGTATAACGTAGCGTTTTCGGGAACATAACCCCGACGTTAAGCGAGGACTTAATGTACTTGATATTAGAGTGAGCCTTTTCTGCTTTATATGCTGGGGGAGACTGAGGGGCAGGGCTCCCAGTTAGGTGAGATTAGGTTGGCTGGGTTAGGTCAGTTTGGTTGGGTTATGTCAGTTTGGTTGAGTAAGGTAAGTTAAGGCAGGTTCTGTGTCTTGTCATTCCCATTTTCTTGTTTAGTATCATACATATAGCATCTGAAATTTTGGTGCATTTTAATAATTTTCTTCTGGTGATAAAACGTTTCCTCCACCTTTACTTTATATTTTCGAAGTGGTTAATTGACCGGTATTCCCAACCGAATACCCATCAGTTATTTGACCGCACCAGCTGGCCGAGCAACCAACAGCTATTTAACCGGGACCCGCGGGGATGTGTATGACATAAATGGGATTCTGGTGAGGACAGCTGTAGGTGTTAAACTATCATTACAGTATTATTTAAGTGTTGAATGTTTTATCACTACTGTATCTTCATTTAGTCGTCTTGCGATACCCCGATAAGTCTCACTTTTATCATGTTGTCCCCCCAAAAAGTATCGTCAGCCACGTGGTCGATGTGATTCGAGGTTTTCTGAGTAATGTTGCTCGACCTGTTTCAGTAGTTCTACATCCGCGACCTTTGAGCATGGATGACTACAAGGTCTACATTTTCGAACAATATATACAGTAATACTGTATAGCTTTATGGATTTCATGTTATACTGAAGTATCTAACATGCCATACAAGGACGACTCCCTCCCACAATCCTACCCCCATGTCTAGCCGTAGCTGATATGGCAAGCAGGCATATCAACTTATGATGATGCACTGAGGATCATACCAAAGCATTTCATCTAGGGTTTCAAATTGTAGCGATGGAAAAGCTAACAAAATTATTTGGGGGATGTACAGTAGCTAAAGCAACTATCTGTGCATACTTTGTGGGAAATAATAGAAGACCATGGGAGATAAATTGTGGTATATGAGGCCTGTCACTAGTCACACGCGAAATTTTGGAGCATATCGACCCCCACCTGCAGATAGTTGTTTTAGCTACTGGACATATAGTACTGTATATAATGTACTGTAGGTTAAACATAGAGGTGTTGGTTTTCTTAGCAAATTGATTTAGAATTTAATCTGATTTCATCTTCTTTGTATCCATAATCTTGCATACAGTACATTATTTGTATTTGATCGATTTTTTCCTAATAGTTTGAAATTACCAATAAAATAATACGGTACAGTATATAGAATTTTCTGTGGCCAGATGTACAGTAATATCTCTGTTAGCCGGAATCCCTCAAACCCGGAACTCTCCGATAGCCGGAATTGGAATTTTCTCAGAAAATCGTTCCCAAAGCAGGAATTTTCTGAAAAATTCCGGCTTTGGGACCGATTTTCTGAGGGACAATTTATTCCGGAAAATTCTGAGAAAATTTTCCCGGTACAGTAGAACGTCGATATAACGCGAGATATGTTCCAAGAGAGGTCGCTTTAAACTGAATCCGCACTAAATCGAAGTGTTGTTTCAATGGGATAATTTAGTTGGGTACTTATATAGAGAACTAATTTAAATCAGGTGTGCAAGAGAAGTAAAAATATTACAGAATAAGGTAATGTATGAGAGCACCGCTACCACCGGAAGTTGTTCGATTTTGTTAATTTTGTCCATGGATATTCTTATCAATATACTGTAGTACATATATTAAACGAGGGGACATTTACTAGAACTTAATAGAACCTGACCTAACCAACCAACCAAAGAAACCAACCTAACTTCCTAGCCGGGGACGGACCCCCCCCACCATATTAACCATAAAGTACTTACTGTATTTTGATATCTGGTATGAATAAAAGCAACTTTGTTGAACCATTATGGTGTAAAATGTAAATTACGTTTTTGTGGATGTCAGATTACGCTCGGACTAAGTGGGTAGGTTGCGAACTGACGACTTGGTGAGTCGGCAGATTTTTCGGAAGTGTATTTAAAGTAAATAATTAATTTCTTCACATACAAAGCAAGTAGAGAATCATTTTAGTGTCATATAATCAGTTTTTCACCATGTTTTATCCTGCAATTTCCCCTCATCTTTCATGCCCTGACCAATACAGGCAATTCATGATCAAAGATTGAGAAAAACTAGAACAATAAAAAATACTTATAATTCAAATAAAACTTAATAGTATTTAAGTTTAAGTCATCCCTATGTTTTTTGACGTCTTGAATGATTTTGAGGTAAAGATTCGTTTAACGTCCCCACCAGTTTCTTTAGAAAGAGTTAATATTTTGCTATTTGGACTTTAGATATAGGTCATGTTACCTTTCAACATTTTGGATAGTCATTATTTTGGAGGTAATGTCAAAAGTTGAATCATTTACTGTAAACACTCTTCCGAAAAATATGCCTGTCATCTGTTTGCACTCTCACAACGACCAAAAATGTAAAATTACACCATGACGCTTCAACAAAGTTGTATCCACTGGTACCACATATCAAAATAAGTACTTTCTGTTTAATTTGGCAGGGTGGCAACCCTCTGGCTAGTAAGTTAGGTAAGGTTAGGGAGGTTTCTTTGGTTGATTAGTTCTTTATATCTCTGACATTTTCTCATAACGGAGATTCCACCCCCCCACCCCCAAAGGTCAGATTTTAACAAAGCACACCAAAATACACGAGAACAATATATTTCCCTGTAAAAATGAAGGGTGCGTTGAAATGAATCTTTACTAATTGATTTAACCTAACCTAACCTAACATAACCTAACCAGCATATCCTATCCACAGAACCCAGAAACCGTATCTAACCTGACCTAAATCCCTAATATTCCCAAGATGACCAAAACTTCAAATAATAAAAAAAAGGTTGTTGTCTCCTTTAAAATACTGTACATACTTACTGTACTATATATAATATAAAGAACTTATGGAAAATGAAAAAACTCGAATAACTCCTTCTGGCGGTAGCGGTATTATCATACATTCCCTATAATAATTTGACATATACTGTATTTAGAATATGAACTCCAAAATATAACTTCCCAAATTGTTCTGACCGTTTCCATTATCACCCACAAGCTTTGTACTCTGGAATAAATATATTAGTACATGTTTTGTTCTACCTGCTCCTTACATATACATCTTGACAACACACAAATATTCATGTTAATTCTGATAGACAGTGTACAAAACAATAAACCATTTTCTCAGATCAATGCAGATTTGGTCGTGTACATTGAAGGGGCCAGGAAGGTATAACACTCATATTTAATCTCTACGGTGGCAGGATTAGTCATCACACACTAGCTCAATGTCTTTCTCACACCCATTAGTCATCACACACTCACTCAACGTCTTTCTCACACCCATTAGTCATCACACACTCGCTCAGATCTTAGTGCACCGCGTTAATACGTTGCTACGACTTACGGGAGGCGGTCCAATAGTCACAACACTGCAGTCTGTTCCTCTCCTGACCAAAACAAACAGTTAACGAACACTTCCAGCGATCACAACACGCGAACACCTCCAGCGACAATAATACGCAAACACCTCCAGCGATCAACAACACGCGAACACTTCCAGCGATCAAACAAGCGAACACCTCCAGCGACAATAACACACGAACACTTCCAGCGGTCAAACAAGCGAACACCTCCAGCGGTCAAACAAGCGAACACCTCCAGCGGTCAAACAAACGAACACCTCCAGCGATCAAACAACAAGCGAACACCTACAGCGACCACCAACTATGACTATTTTCTTTGTTTCCTATCCAGATCTCCCAACTCTACCAACTATTTGGAACTCTTTGACAATCTCATTTCTTGCTACGAGTCGTTGCTATCCACACCCCAACACCGAGATCCTCTAATTAGGTAGTAGACAACTACCAAACAGGGAGGTACTGTAGCGTAGTGTGTGACCAGTAGTCTAATTTCTCTTTATGTTTGTCTATTTTATCTTTGTTAGGCTCACATACATACGTGCATGGAGGAAATTTCGCACTACGGATGGAAGTGAGAAAGGAAACTCACAATGGTGTTTTCTTTATATATACTGTATTACTGTATACCCTGTATGTACAGGGCAGTCAAGTGCTGGGAAGTTGCTGCGTAGTAGAGTTGCCGTGGAGGAGCTTATTTAGAGGAGGTCTTGTGGGGGTTCATGATGTTGTCTCACACTCAGGATGGTTTGGAGAAAGGAAACTCACTCTGTATATATATATATATATATATATATATATATATATATATATATATATATATATATATATATATATATATTGGATGTACAGTGCAGCTGGTGCTGGGAAGTGCGTGGCAATGGAGTAGAGAGAGCTGGTTCGGGAGCGTGCTCAGAGGAGGTGTTGCCTGCCTGCCAGGTAGAAGAAGGGCAGGTCACATGAGGTGAGGTCTTATATAGCGGAGGTAAGCGTAGCGATAGTTGACCTCGCTATGCTAAACTGGCATACAAAGACGACAGAATTCGAAAAGGGTCGGCTAGTCAGCGACAAACGGCAGTTGTAGTTGTGAAATTTCACTACAGTCTTCTCTGCTTAAAGCGTGGTCACCGTGGTGTTGTCTGCCCTCACTTGACTTGACTGACGTCTGTAGATAAGGTAGAGGCTATTGCTATTCAGTGGGAGGGTTAGGATTGGAGCACTTTGAATTTGGGGGGGAGGGCTGGTTTAGGATCAAGGTAAAAGAGGGAGGAAAATTGAAGTAAGAGATTAACAGTTTCCGGGCTCAACCAGATATGCTGAGCCCTGAGGGCATATCAGCCCCAGAAAGACTAATGTCACTAACAATAGACCTTCTATTCAAAGTGGTCACTGGACACCTAGCTGTGACCATCAGTGTCACAGGTCAAGTTAATTTTCTACGTCTATCTTATGATCTAATCAGAGATTGAGTTTGTCAGTAAAGAGGTGAAATGGAGTTATATATGCCTTCACAACTCTACTCGCCTGACCGCAGACCACATGGTCGAAACAGCCGTTAAGTCTTGGAGATTTTACAGGTTGACAGAATAGTTCAGGAGATTAATGACTTTCTTAAATAGACAACTGACAAACTCTAAACTACAACCATCAGATTCTCTGATGTTTGGGCAACAAAACAATATAACTTCAGTAGCGATCGTAAATCCAGGATAACCCCACGGACGACATAAAATATACCACTCTAGCTGGCAAACTCGACACTCACTTACTTGACAAGTTTTACTAACAATAAGGACAGTTGAAGCTTTCAACACCACTCACAATGGATATTGAAAGTTCCAACTGTAAACAGACATAACTAGGTTGCCTCACCAATTGCAGCCACAGTTGCAATTTCAAATTCTGTCATTACAAAGGAATAATGAAGTCTCGGGTACATTCAAGATTGAGAGAAAACGACGGACTCAGGAGTCCTGAAGCGATGAGAAAACGAACTCCTCAGATGGGGAACTTGAATAAGAAAGCATAGCTACATGTTTTGTGGGCTATTGAGCGTAATATGAATCGTCTAATTTATTGACTGACGTGTATGACCGTATTCAATAGGCAATGGAAACGATGAAAATAGATGAATACTTATCACTTTGTTTAATTAGGTACAGAAAAAATACCATTTAGATGTTCTCACCAAATCCAAATTCGTCTATACGAAAAAGGAATATAATTACAAATTTCCTTGGGAGGAGCGAACAACAATTGCCATTAGTGATAATGACTACACATATCATAACAAGTGTAATAATACAAGTTGGCAACACTTGCCACTAATACTGTAGGTCATGTACTGGTACAGATGAAGCTTGCTTTCACTCAGCGTCCAGCGTCACCTGGACAGACTTAATTATGCTGATAAGTGCTTCACATCCGCACGGTGATGTCGGCAACTGCCTCCTGTGCCGTAATTTACTCTGAACACATTTTTCAGTTCACCTGTTATAATCTTCCTCACTGAAGGATCCTCATACCTGCACAGCCACTCCCACAGTCCTGAAGTACCACATCCTCACCTCAGCTACACTGATCGTTTTTCACTGTAAACAGAAACAGGGAGATTATATTAATAGCTTCATGCGAAGATTACTATTAATAAGCCGAGGTCCTTATATAATTTAACACTTGCATATTAGACATTAAGGGAGATAATTTTTCTATAACTGTTGTAGAAAAAATAACATATAATGTACAGTAATTTGTTAAATCAAACCCGGTACAGATATTTATAATTTGCCCAACTTTACTGTATTTGGTGTAATACCTTTTGGCCACTGCTGTAGTCAGAGAGCAGCTCCTTCTCCACACGGATCTATACGCCTACCCTTCCTCGCCTTATAGAACAGATTAAATTCTAGATTAATAATAATTGGTATGATGAAATTTATTGACGAGATAAGAGTAATAGACAAAGTCACCGTCAGCTGATGATGTTGTCTCAGGCACACCGACACCAGGTGACCAATGTTAAGTCACCAACGTTGAATCAATAATTTATTGTCAAGTAAATAAGTAACTATAATAAAGCTGACTAAATATTGTGATCCTATGGCAAAAAAAGTATGGAAAACTTTAAAATTAATTCCTGACAATATTATTATTTGCCTCCTGGTTGAAATGGCGCCAGAAATACTCCAAATAAGGAGAGTAAAGGTTGGGGATTGTTAAAACAGTCGGCCGTGTATTGGTCGTAACTGTAATAATACCCCGATTTCGTAAAGTGGCAACAAGTGAAAATTTTCCTGAGTTGGTTGTCTGAAGTATTACGTTTCGACCTTTAATATACCTGTACTGTATCAATCTGTATATAAACATTCGACCGCGTATTCAGTGTTGTCATTCGTTCTTGAGGTGCCACGGAGAGTTGTACTTTTAAGTGTTGATGAACTAGTGCATTTTTAATCTTACGTGCTTATAAACCTATAGTTGTTGAAGTACTCTAACACCTTTATAACGTCAGCAAGGTGCCACGTTACAGTCGTTATAGTTACCAAAAAGAATACTAAACGGAAACAGTATATAACTTCACGTATGGACTTTGAAGATGTTAAAACTAACTGCTTGTTTGGTTGTGGACTAGTTTAGAGTCGTAATTGCGGGGTCGTTGACAAAGCTTCGAATCTTATGAGTAATTTTCGTTAATAATTATACATTTTATTTTAGCTAATGATGGTTAAAAGTAATTTGAAAATATGACTGAGACTATAGATGATGGCCAAGCGCATATGATGTTCTTTATGCCACCCAATCGGTAAATGGATAAGTGAATCAGTAAAGCGAACCAATGAATTAAGGAATCAAAGCACCTCAAGGGTTCATCACTCGCCAGTCACCAGTGATGTACAGTAACGGTGGCGGCAACATGTGTGTGCGCGTGGTGATACAGGTTTTGATGGCTGTTTCAGGGTTTACGTTCGCTGTTTGAGAATTACCCCCTGTACCTTGTGTGTGTGTGTGGCGCCGTAAGGACTTCCAGGACTTTGCGTTGTGATTATTAGCAGGTGAGTGCAGGTATGTTGAGAAAAATGTTGTGTTGTTGTACCGTGGGGTCCATGACTCGGACAGATAGCACTGCTATTAAGATGACTGTGAACCAAAGTTAGCATGTGGATATATATATAGTTATATATATATATATATATATATATATATATATATATATATATATATATATATATATATATATATATATATATAATCTTAGATTTGGTGATGGTTCATTGTTCTTTCCTGAACATTGATGTTGTACTGCAGGGTACTTGTCCACCTGTACTGGAACCTTGGTTTTATATAAATTTATTGACTAAAAACCATAGAGTACATACATACATATAGGGACATTTACCGCGGAGAACACAAAGTATTAGTAATGTATATTTATAGTATGGTACTTGTCAACGTTACTGAGGGTTTTATCGCGGTCCATCAATTACCCAAAAGTACCCAAATGTATATTAAATCAGGGTAAAATCTTAACGAATATATGTTTTACATCAATAAAACCTGATTAATAATGTTTTCATTGAAATGTAGTCAAAATAATGAAATAATAAACAGCGAAAAACGCTAAATTCCAAAGAGTCACCTATCCAAAATGGAGACACAATTACCGATGTTTCTGTTACTTTGGGGTATTTAACATAGCCGTAGGATTTACTTTTCGTTAGGTTAGGTTAGCGAAGTGCATCACGATGGATCTGAGTTATCTCCTTGTTCACGAACTCTCTGGAATTTAGCGTTCGCCAATACTGAAAGTTTTTCGCTGTTTATTATTTCATCTTACAAATTATTTTTACAAAATTACACTAAAAATATTATTAAACATGTTTTGTGTATGTATAACAGATATTCGTTAAGATTTTACCCTTATGTGCTATACTTTTGGGTACATTTGGGTACTTTTGGGTAATTCGTGGCTCCCTTTTATCGAGCGTATTCTTTTACAGAAACTCAAACATTGTTCTGTAGAAGTTTTTGTCAGGGGAAGTGTGGAAGGTCTTGTCGCGACAACCTACTTGCTGTTGTGCCTAGGTAAATTATGT